GCAATTCAGAATAGAAAATTTACTGCAATTCAGAATAGAAAATTTACTGTAATTCAGATTAAAATTTACCGCAATTCGGAATAAAATTTACTGCAATTCAGAATAAATTTACCGCAATTCAGAATAGAAAATTTACCACAATTCAGAATAGAAAATTTACTGCAATTCAGATTAAAATTTACTGCAATTCAGAATAAATTTACCGCAATTCAGAATAGAAAATTTACCGCAATTCAGATTAAAATTTACTGTAATTTAGATTAAAATTTACCGCAATTCAGATTAAAATTTACTGCAATTCAGATTAAAATTTATCACAATTTATCAAAATTTATCATAATTCAGAATAAATTCACTGCAATTCGGTAAATTTATGAATATATTTTTTAAACAATTCAGATTAAAAATACTAAGCAATCCAGATACAATTCAGACATTCTGATCGGTGTCGATCAGCCTGCCAATCGGAACTTTTTTTGGATTGATAAATCGGCCATCTTTATCACCAAATTCAGCCTAAAATCGGACATCCGATTTCTAGCTGATTTGGACTATTTCGACCAGTGTTTGCTACGCACTTTTGACCATGGCGGCTTTCCATAAAAACTGAATTTAAAACGGGTGCACCCGGTTTGACCCTTTTCACAAAACTGGTTGAAACTGATTTATGAATTATCAATTTACCATAATGAACAATTCACACACATAGTGGCTTAAATCATCTCATTCCCTAAAAACTTGTGCAAATTCTTTTTTTACTATTATTAAGGGTAGACCGGTAGAATGACTGATCATATAATAGAGATCAGCATAGTTTTGACGATAACAAGTTAAAAGATATTGAAAGTGTAATATTTTTGGTTTCGTATCTAAGGCAAGTAGTTTGTGAAGATGATCATAAAATCCAAAATTTACTGAAAGAAAGCAAAGCTAATACTTGATACATAGACATGCCATGGTTAATAGATATTTTCGAGTTGTAAAGTTTACTCAAAGAAAATAAAGTTCAATCACGTAAAATGATGTAATGTCTGTGCGACATAAAAACCTATATTAAACACCAGAATATCTCACTCTGGAAAGTAATACTACAGTGCGGTACCTCTATAATAACTGACCCAATTTTATAGTCATAATGTGACATTTTCAAAAAGATGTCATATTAGCAAAAAATAATATTATAAAATTCTAACCGATAATTATAATAAAGCATATCAAGAGCTTTTAAACTTATCAGGTTAGATTAAAAAATAATGAATTTTGCTAGTGTTACATAAGTTTAAAATTCGGGTAATTTATTATGATGGGAAAAATTTGAGAATAAGTGATTTTTGTGTAACATAAAAAAAAATAATCATTTGATAGTGCTTATTAAAATAAATCATTTTAGCTTATAAACTTACCCATGCAAAAATTTTGAAAAAAAATTAAAAAAAATTTTGGTAGTTTTTATTTATTACAAATTATATTATGCTTATTTCTCAAAAAGGAATTACAGGAAAACTTGCTAAAAAAAATATAAATTCTATAGAAAAGTTCCTGATGATATATTTAATCAAATTACTTTTAAATAATTATAATAAATAATAAATTATATATAAAAAATTATATATAATTCTAATTAACATTAAGTATTGTATTAGCCAATCAAATTTATTTTAAGTTATGTGATTTTGTATTATGTCAGCAAAAAAAATTGAGATATTTGCTTAATGTATTTATCTTTTTATTAAAGGCTATCTAATTTTAAAATTTTATAAAATTCTGACCATTAGATCACAAGATATAAGGGGTACCTATTATAGAGGTACCGCACTGTATTTTTTTAAATAGCGCTATGTCAACTATCACTCTTAGTTGTTTGGTCGTAGCCTCGTAGGTGAAAACCCTTACGAAAATGCTTCCAATGTAAAAGTTAATAAGACAGAGGCGGTTAGCGAACTCAAGAATGCTATCAAGGAAAAAAATACACAAGCTTTCGCTAACGTTGGGTAAAGACATCAAACTATGGGAAGGTCGACATTTCCCTCGAAGAAGAAAATGAAAAACTTGATCTCGTTAATACAAAAATAAATGTTAATATTAAGGAGGAGCTTGGTGGTATGGAACTGCTTCCACTTTCGAAGATTAGCAAACACTTTTCCTCCCAGCCAGTCGACGAACACATACATATCATCATACAGCGTCCTGTTGAAACGAAGGAAGTTCACTGCACCGCAATGTATGGGCGTAAGTCAAAAAAGTTTCAGTGGACAGTAACCCGTAGACAAATAACCTTATTAGCTTTGAAGTCTCGGCTTCGCACATGCTTCACATTTCCGGATGGGACAGAAGACAAACACATCGTTATAAATCGTGAGTTTGGCAACGATAAAGAAATTATTTGTTTGGCTGATGATGAGGATTTGGCGAGTGTAATCTGGACTCAGGGATTTAAGGTGGATCTCCCAATCGTCGTGGACACATGTAAGTATCGTTTATTTTTGAGAATATTTCGTAACACGTCTGACAGAAATTAATTTGGATGTTTTATAGCACAACAGCCATTTTCGTCGTGGACATTTTCCCAAATCAATACGTTATTTGGATTAACAGCCGATAGTTATATTGATCTCCCCAGGTTCGAAGGAGAGTTAGCTAAAACAACCAATTACGAAAAGATATTGGAGCACATTTTGGATACAATGCTAATATTTTGTGCAATTGGATAAAAGGATATTGCTACTATGGTATCATTTGCAAAATATAGAATATAGGATGTAAGTGACAATAACATTCTTAAATGGATTATGGATATGTAGAAGAGCGGGATACAAGTGTTAACAAGTAACTCCGCAGCAATTTCATACATCATACCTTTGAACGCGTAAATGTACAATTTAAGTTTGACAAATTAAATAAATGTTTTGATATTATTATATTTTTTACTACGAGTTGTGGAGCAAGAAAATGTTAACAGCTTCATAAATAGATTTAATTGTAATGGAAGCATTTGAAATTACTTGTTTTTTATTGCTCTTATTCAATTTGGTATAATAAGTAATGTTTTAATCTGGATAGTAATGAAGTTATGACCAATTAAGAAGCAGTGTTATTTTCACCGGGGATTGTAAAACTATGCATTAATATATAGTTGATATATTAAATAATTAAAATATAATTTTACTAGCATTATTTATTTTATAGGGAGCTAGGAGTAAATAGGCTTTTTTCCCTCAGAAGGATAAGAGCGTGTCACTCTGTCACTCATAAATATACATCAGATATTCATATGATATAACGTGATTATTTAATTGTTTTAAACTTTAAATATTTTAAATGCACAAAAATAAAAAATTACTTGCATATATTCTTTAATAAAAAATTTATATTCTTGTCACAAAAAATTATGGTAGAGTACAACGTTATATTGATCCACTCACAAACTCACAATTATAGTAAATCGTCTCAAATTATTACTTTTAATTGACCATAACTATTAAGAAATTAGAGAATATTACCCTACCGCTAATAGTCTTTTTCGTAATCCGGTTGTTAATGACCTATGCGTTTCCGGTTGCAAATTGTTCCACCCATTTGACTCACCTGCAGGTGTCCAATATTCACAGATGCATTATTTTGATTATCCGAATCTTTCTCCCGAATTTTTCCAGTTCTTAGAAAATATAATACGGATTAGTACTTGTAAGAAAAACATTTTACATTAACATTATACAAATTAAATGACATAAACAGCTTTCGCAAAACGTCGAACACTGTAGACTAGCAGTCCAGCTTGCGCTAAGCGTCGAACTAGCAGTTCATCACTGTTGAAAAGCTCATTCCTTCAGACTAGCAGTCCCAGCTTGCACTAAAGCGTCGAACTAGCAGTTCATCACTGGAGACTAGCAGTCCCAGCTCGCGCTAAGCGTCGAACTAGCAGTTCGTCACTGTTGGACTAAGCTCTTAACTTATCAAATCCCTATCCAACTAATAAAACAATACTTTCCAATCGTCCAGGATTTCTTGAGCTTTTTTCTCGCACGTAATATCATACTCAGAAACGGGACTTGCCACTATTTCAAGTTCTTTTCTTTTCTTACACGATCCAGCAATTTCTTCCTTTCTTTTTTGCCCCGTTTTTGCATCATAATATTTTATTATATTATCGCAGATCCAATCTTCAGTAGTAGTAACGTGATAAAAAGCGAATAGTGATGATGTAGTCATTGTCCGTTATAATACAATATGATAAAAATATAGCTGTTAATATAAACTTGGTGAACATAAAAAATTAGTTTTTATAGATCAAAAATTTCCCGATCATCACATGATATAGCAATCAGAGAATCTTGGGAAAACGCGTTAATATAGGTTTTTATGTCGCACAGGCAGCTTCTAATGCGTATTACGTCACATAACTTTCGATTCAGATTTCACGCTTATTTTTTAGTACAATTTATAACTCTATTTTCTCTTCTCTTTCTAAAAAAAAGAAAGAAAAAAACTTTAATAATCAAATAAATAAATAACAAAAAGAAACTTTTTTTTTACTGTAAATAACACGACTGCTACCTTCAAAATTCTTCTGCAATGCTCAAAAGTTAAGTATTTTAATGGTTAATATCTGTTACGCATCAAGCGTACCCGCGTCTCTTCTTGTTGCATGGGGACCATCAAGCCCTGCCTGGTTGTTCAACACGAAAAGGTAGCTTACTTGGTCAGACAGAAAGGATGCTGGAATACTAACGTCCCAGGGTTTACATGCAAATCTTCCGTGTTCAACACACGTGTAAGATAAGAGGTTGCGGGAAAGAACTTGCATCTGGGAGAGTGTCGGTCTATGTTGCAGGAGGCTACCACTCTGTCTGATCGTTTCAACACGAAAGGGTGGCGAGGGTCAATATGCTGTAATATCAGGGTTTGCCTGCAAACTCCATATGTCTCAACACGCATGAAGCGACCGAATAACTTAGACCCAATGACAAGTACAAGGAAACTGATAAATGGGTCTGTGAATTATTAATAGCTAACCAAAAATTTCTTTTTGCAAACAGATGAATAAGCTTGATAAGTTTATGTTGGATTTTGTTCCAAAGAACTCTGAAATAAACGAGTTCTTCACCAAGACAACTTTGAGATGGTGGAACCATGTCGACCTTTTTACAAGATCCATATACGCCGTGAACCCTGTTATAACACCACAAGAAGTGTTGAATGAATATGATCAAAGTCTTTCCAAAATCATAAATACTAAAGGTATCAATACTTCTGTAGTGGAACATATTAAAAGTTTCCAAAAAAAGATGATTGTAAGTTTTCCTATCTACTATTATTCATTGTCTTAGTATATCTTCTTTATTAATACCATTTATTAATTGTTTTCAACGATTCATTAGCTGGCTCAAACGTTGAAAACTATCGGTCTTACTTTACTTGATTTAAGAAGACAACAAGCGAAAGTAAGCATAAAAGTCATTGCATATCATGAAGCATCTTATATTAACGTCAATTTCTTTTAGAAAAGGAAAATTACGACTGAGATAACAAGAGAAGATTTCCAAACTGCGGTGGAGAATGATCGAATGAACAAAAAAGCGGAAATCTTTTCTGATGATTATGTAAGTTTGCCTAGTAAGGTTAGAATTAAACCAGATTAGTATTTTTCTGTATTTTAAAATAATTGAATTTTGAATAGACTCGAGAGCCAGATGAAGTAGACGATGAAAATTTCCGATCTCCTTATTCCAGCGTTAATAATTCTCCACCACGTGCTGTTGTTACTTCTCCCCTTCAACATGACTCTCATTCACAGTCTCAACGACCTCAAATTTCCAGTCCGTCAGATCCTTCCATATCTGAGGTAATTATATTTACATTAATGTTTAGTACGAAAAAGTGGTTCCCTTATACTTACTGGATGTAAGCGCAGGCAGAAACTGATGTTTATAACTCCGAGAACGATGACGAATCATGAAATGCTCGAGGTAAATTATATCTGGGCAGGTGTTGTTAGCTGTAAATATTTATTATTCTTACTACTATCTGTCTGAAGGAGGCGATTGATGATCAAGAATTGAAGAAGGAAATCAACAATAAAGTGGAAGTGGTGAAGGAAAACAAAGTAAATCATCATTGAGAATTTTTAGGCATCGATTTTCTTTTAAGAGTAATAAAGATTTATTCTTTTGCCATTTAGAAAGGACCATTTAGAATGAGCGAGGAAAATCGAGAGGAGATTGCGAAAGCCTATAGAGCGATGGATACAGAATACATGTGGAAACTTTCATCTGGGAGAATAGTCGAAGAGGAATTGTTTGAACTCGGAAATGACTTGGAGTTTGAACAGTAAGTATTCATGTATGTGAGATTACGTTTGTGTAGGAATAATTATAATAAATTGCATTTTTGTTTCATAGTGCCATTCATTCCTTTATTCTTGATGTTGAAGATGAGTTAATTATGGAACATTTCATTGAGGAAGAACTTGAAGAGATAAGTAGCGCACCTATTCCGGAGGTACCTGAGCTCTCAGATGAAGTTAACGATTTTTTATGTAAATTCCTTGGCAAGGTAATAAATATTTCATTTACATATTACTAGCAACATGCGTATACTGTAATAAGTCACCAAGCCTCTTTTCTCTTCTGTTGTAGATTAACTTGAACGAGATCCGACAGATAATAAAAGAATCAATTTTTGGTGATGATTACAACCGTGAGAAGCATCATGATGTAGATTATATATGCCTGGCTTTATATTCTTTGTATGTAGTTCTTTTTATTTTGTCCTTGTGACTGTCACACATATGGATCTCGTTAGAGTTTTTGTGAAGGCTGTTACGTCAATAGTGGACTGACTGAAAGTGAAAACTAATTACAGGGTGAGAGAAATAGAAAACGGTAATCTCAAGGACACGAATCTAGAGAATTGGTATAACTGCCATGTGTGGAATGTAATATTCGATCAAGCTTTCGGAGACATAAAGGCGGTGGCTATTGTCAGGTAATTTTTTTACCTTAAAAAAAAAAGGTAGCTTCTTTGATCTGACTAGGTTTTTTATAATCAAGGGGCGAAAGTACGAGTATATCAACGGCCACACGAAAAAACAAAAAAACAAAAAGGAAATTAGGGGAACGTCGTAAAATCGGTCGCAGAGGGGATTGGATTATCAGGGCTGTTGGTAACGGCAACAAAGATGAATTTGGGGCCGGGGAGGCGGGTAAAGATTGGATAGACAAATATGGAACAAAGTATCTTAAAGAAATCGGACTAAAGCTCCCTAAGACGCTCAAAGATATGTTTGTAAATTTAATGGAAAGAATAAATTGGAACGAAGAGATGCGCAGAAAAATACAAACATTAGGTATTATTCATAGAGGTATGTGCCAGAAACTTGATTCTTACGAGATTTATTTATCAAATGCTCGTCGTTAATAAAGTATATTAATTCTGTAATAGGCCTTACGATGATAATGGTATATGTTGACAACCCTAAAGGTCATATCTGCAGGTTTCGGCGTTGTGATCTGATGGAAGTTCCAGACACAGTGGAAAAATTTGATTCCGTTTTGACGATCCTGGCGTCTGTTCTGAATGCAAAGGTTAGATTCATACTTTCGTTCTCTGTTTCATTATACAAAATTAACATATTTGTAAACGTTAGTCTGTAGTACAACAGACGATAAAGGTGGTTCAAACAGGACAGACTACAAAATCATTTAAGAGTGCCGGGCTCCGAAAACGATCTCAAGATGAGAATCAGCACCAGTTATCTGCGTGCATGTCAACTCCGAAGAAAGCGAAAGTATACGATAAAATGAATATCACAAGATCATATCCTGCATCTCCATGTCCTGAATCAGATAGCGAGCATGGTTCTAATATAACAGCTTCGACCCCTAAAAATTAAATTTTATGTATCACGAAATATTCGCATAAATTTATAAGTTCTAGAAGTATATAAAGTAAAAAAATATCTGTAATTTTGCGATATTCAGCTTTACCAATATATTTAAAACTTCCTAGAATCTGAGTATCTGACACATAAGTCATCAGGTAAAAAATTATTAATTGTGCAGTGTTGTAACCATTACTCGACCCCGACTTTGGGGATATCTCAGAGATTGGATTCGATTTCAGAAAAAATTCAAAACTACATATTTTAGAGAATCGATTCTCAACATACGATAATAATAGTAAAGGTCATATTCAAAAAAGGTCATTTGTATTTTAAGTAAAATCACATGTACCATCAAAATTAGATCACAACAAAAATTTTAAGGTTCGCAATAAAAGCGTATATTTTTAGGAGAGTAATTATTATAAGTATTATATTAGATAATTTACATAACAGATAATATAGCGTAGTAAAAATTTCAAATTTTTTAGAAAAATTCATTTTTTTACCAGAAATTCAATATGTTTTTGCCGTTGATTAATGATAATACATGTTTTAACTTCCACCTCCTAATATTCATTTTATATTTCAAATATTAATTACATCCGATATTTTTTCTATTACTCTTGATTCTCATAAGACTCTTCCTCCATTAGCCAAAATTTTGATAATACTGCAGAAAAAAATCCTTCATTTATAATATTCACAATTTATAATTTTTTTAATTCAGGTATAGATAAATTACAATTGACTGATTATTGCTACAAAGTGGTTATAAACAATGCTGAATAATTTATATGAAATAAAGTTTTTAAAATAATATCGAAGTCATATGATAAAAAAGGATATTTGTAATACATTCAAAGTTCATGTATATTTATTTCCTTAGATTTTTAATTAGTACAGTAACATTGGATGTATCTACTATTCATCGCGTGAATCACTGAATCAAGTTTTCCGTAATTATTGTTAATATTTGATACTTAATGTTCGGATGGAAAATAAGCAAAATAAGTTAGAAACCCTAAAAGTGATTTTAATGATAGTATGTAGAAACGAATGTTTATTTATATTTATATTACTATAAATAACGCGCGCACATATTTTTTAATCAGCTTCTTTCACGAATTCGGATTCTTTCTTTCAGAAAATAAATCCCTTACTTTTTTATTTTTATTTTTTATAGCTAATAGAACTCAAACATAGTACAAACTACGTATATATACTGTATATAGAGTAGAATTTGAAACTAATGTAAGGCCACAACCGTCTACCGTTGTTATAGTCTTATAGGGAAAATAGGACCTCGAAAAAAAAATCGACGCCATTCCTCATTAGGACTAACAGGAGCACGTGACTTTTACAACTAAATACATTTATTTTAGAGGAAAACCCGGTACGATTGATCAAATTTTCAAAAATTTGTACTTTGCCCTATATATACTTACAGTACAGTATATTATAGAATTTTTCTTTTTTTTTTTCATGTGATATCCAAATATTTATATATTAAATGGACATTTAGATACCAATGTCCATTTTATATGTGGTTATTTAGACACCAATGTGGCAATGTCCATTTAATCATAGTGATAATTTGGACACCAATGTCCATTTATTAATTATAGTAGTTATTTGGACATTTAATATAATGATTAATGATTATTTGGACAATTGGACGTCATAAAAATCAACCGTACTGTTGTACCTATAAGACAAAATTTTATCAAAATAATATATTTTATTAAAGAAATACTAATAAATAAGAATTTGAATTACCTTTTTTAAACTTAAATTCCGTATCAATAGTAATAAGATAAGATAAAGAAATTTGAGTTAAATAAATTAAAAGAAATAATTTACTAGTATAAAAATCATTAAAAATATTTAAACCAATAATTGAATGATAAAATAATGATACTAAAATGGTTAATATGTTCCAATAAATGATTAGATTGAATATTTTATAATTATTATTATTATAATTTTTATTATTATTATTATTATAATTATAATAATAATAATAATGACGTTTACTCTTTTGTAAAATTTGTATAAATCTAACCATAACGTAAGCGTCAATAAAAATATCAATTATTATGGTTAAATTCATTAAATAAAAACCTTTTTCTTTGATTCCTTTTTCATGATTGTTTTGATAAGAAATTTCAAAAAAAATATATGCAACCTGAGAATTAAAACTTTGATTAAAAATCATATTAATTATATCTTTTAGTGATATGTTATTAAACTTACATTAAATGCTGCTCTTGTTACAAGTAGAACAATATTAATCCACATGTCAACTTTCTTGGTAAGTTCAGATTTATTCTTTTCATATTTGCTGATAAGAATTAATATATAAGCAGCCAAAGATTGCATCATAAAATAATTAAAAATCATTTGTACATAGTTGACCCTCATATACATTTCGCAAGACAGATTAATTATCATAAAGAACAGAAGGCTTGTTATGGAACATATAAAGCTGCTAATATTAAAAATAATTTTGAGAAAAGATAAACTTTTATCCCGTCCAGAACAGTAAAGAAGGATCGACTTTACAAAATTATGAAAAGAAACCTAATAAAATTATGGAACGAACGAAAATAAATTTAAAAATAAATTAATTTAATGAGTAAATTAATTTAGTAAGTTGGTAAATTATAATTAAATTTATCTAAACCAACCATAGATACGAAACCAATAAAGAGCGTATCATATTTAATTTCTTCCATTTTTAAAGTACAATAGATATTGTTATTTTTGTAATTTGACTGAAGAATGGTTGCTCTTTTTATGAGTATTTAAAATGGAATCGTTAGACGTCATAATCGGCGTAAGTCAGATAAGCCTTAAATAAAAACATTAAAACTTGATTCGGTTATGAGCGTTATAAGCTTAAATAAAACAAAATATAAAAAGTATGTCGTTACCTTTATTTAGAAAGTCATATTGCTGATTCATACTTAATATATATGATTTTCTTTGGCGTAAAATACGTAAATACTGATATCGAATTAGTCACATGTTATTCAAATATTATGATTAACATTATATTTTTATGGTTTTTGATTATAATTTTTTGGTGGCCTATATTTTTTTTCTGTAAAAACAAGAAATTATAAGCGTACATATATAGTAATCCAAGTGTACATATATAGTAACCTATTAAAAGAACATTTAAAAAGTCCGATAAAAGAAATTCTCCGTGGAAAAAAAAAAAATTTCTAGGATTTAACTAAAAAAGGTACAAAATATTGTTCAAAATTTCTATTATTCCTTTTATCTCTTTTGAAAGGTACCATTTATATATTTTTAGCCTCATGGTAGAAATTCTTTGAAAAGAAAAAAAATCACGATTGATTGCGGTCAACCATCATATGGCGTTGGCGTTGTACTATTATACGAATTTCTTAATTTAGATTGAATGGACATTTTGTTATTATTTATAAATGTTAAATTTTTTGTTCTGAAACAGATAATGAAACTCCGACTACAATAAATGCTTAAAAAGGAAATATGTTACGTGTATTTATGCATAAAGTTGATACGCATGACATGAAATTGATCGACGGTAATTTAGTAACATTAGTAATGTCTACCCAAAATTATTTAATCATTTAATACAGTATTTTATTTTATTATATTATTTTACTAAAAAATAAAAATTGAAAGTGGAAAATAATTTGAAAAATGTTTTTTTTTTTACATCTATAAACAAAGTGAGTTCGTAAATTAAAAAATATATAAAAGTCTTTTTTTTTTTTTTTTACGATGTGAAAAAACTGCACTACACTGCACTGCAGATTCTATTAAATTGATTGTCTTTTATCACTCTTTCCTAAAAACATTGACATTACTTCATAAAATGTTACGGGCTGTTGTGAAATTCCAACCTCCTCATTTGAGTCTATCCTCTCAATATTATAACCCTGTTCCATCTTAATTTCATTCCGAACATCCTTAAGGGACATATTTACCAACATTCCGTTAGAGGCTCTTAACACAACGTCTTCACTGATAATTGAAATGTTACTTGATGGCCTTGTCCTTTCTAAATCGTTTTCTAAACTCCCTTCGCTAGTTGGTGTTGGATTATCTAATTTTTCTACGTCAAATGTTATTAAATATGATAAGGTAACAAAAACAAAGGTTTGTATTGCGTATCCGACAATTGGAACACTTAATATTATGATATTAATATGTTGTATTGTTGCTAAAGATATAAGTAATGCATTCCATATTATTGAATTTTTTGGAATGTTTTGATTGGATTTTAAAAATTTTCTTATATATTGAATTAAATGAAATATAAAATATATATCTATTAGAAGATCTGTAATAGTTGCTGCTAAAAGAAATATTCTTCCATTATTCACATTATTATCACATTCACCATCAAATGTTATTTGTGGTCTTAATAATGAGATGTATATAATCTAAAAAAGATGAAGGATTTTCGTTAATAATTATTTATTTATTATAATTAACTCTTTTTTTTTTTTTATTAAATTTATTAAATTAAATACTTACGAATAATAAACTTCTCATTAAAAGTAATAAATAACCAAATCGATCTTTCAAATTTCCAAATTGTCTTAATTTCCAGATTATGTAAATCATGATCAATTCCGTGAAAGCGAAATTGGTTATCATTTGTAAATATGTGACAGCAAAACATTTTGTTAAAGACATATTAATTTTTGTGAAAAGTATTCCAATATTGGTTATACCGAAAGCGAGTCCACATAAATTTAGTACTATTTTTATCGTATTTAATGATTTTGAAGTATTCACTTGATAAATAAGGATCGATTTAATAAGATTATGTAAAGAAGCCTTAAAACGTAAAGAAAAAAAAACAAAAATGTTAAAATGTTAAAAAAAATGTTAAAAAAGTGAAAAAATAAAATTTCGAACATAATTTTGAACTTACCATAAACATTATTATTATAATTGTTAATAAATAATGAAAATTGACAAAATTCGTATTTTCCAAGATTTTCATGATTTTTTTTTTTTTAAAAGTAAAAAAAAAAAAAATAAAATAAAAAAAAAATATAAATAAATAAATAAAAAAATACATAAATAAATAAATTAAGTTTTTAAATTATCTAATCAAAAAAAAATTTTAAATAGATAATTCCTAATTTAAGGAGTGTCTCACCTTTCACACATGAAACAGCTTTTATTAGATCATCTCTAAATTTGGATTTTGTAATCGGAGATTTTTTCCGATCTNAAAAAAAAAAAAGTATTTTCAACTCGTATATATACTAGATTGAAGTGTAATATGATTTAAGATTTAAACAACTGATGAACAATACTTAAATAATTGTGGACAATAGTTGTACTGTACGTAAGGTTTCAGGTCGATTTATCAATCCCTTTTATAATTTTATCGAAATTTCTCCGAACAGATTTCTAAAAATAACATTCATTATGTGTATAAATTTTTATTTTATTATTTTACAAATACACGCGATAAAAAAAATTTTTTTTTTTCACCCTGTTTATATAAACATTGTTTTGATACTAAATAATGTACCTAAAAAAATAAATTTTTTTTTTTTTTCACGCTTTTTCAGTAATCTCTTATGCAAGGTTATGCACAAATTTTTTAATAGATAATTCCTAATTTAAGGAGTGTCTCACCTTTCACACATGAAACAGCTTTTATTAGATCATCTCTAAATTTGGATTTTGTAATCGGAGATTTTTTCCGATCTTAAAAATCCTAAAGATTTGATTGGCCCAAGAATAAAAGTACATATAAGTAAATATCATATATAATATACATATATAATATATATATATATATATATATATATATATATACACTTTATTTTGAAAATAAAAAAGATTTTTCTTCAAATTTATTGAATTCATTAAAAATGGAATTTATCTAGTGTTTATTAATACGTTTTTTATTCATGTCTATTCAGGTTTTCAACAATAAAAAATGAGGCATTGTATTCAATTTTCCTAAAATTTTTACAATTTTGTGTTTGAAAAATATCAAGTTTTTGAAGAATTCCAGAAGTTTCACTTCTTATTCCGATTCAATTTCCCCGCACTTGTCTTACTGACTCGATATGGTAATATACTATATAATTGAAATTCGATCGAATTAGATTGACTATATATAAAGGATAAAAATTAAATTAATAATATACTTTTATACTTGCTTATTAAACCCTTAGATAAACTACTATTTGGATAATTGGATTGATGATTAAAGTTGCTTGCTCTTGCTCTTTCCCTTGTCCGCTTTTGTTGGCAACTAACCATCTCCTTCGTATCATGTTAAATGATTATTAAAAATATATTTATAGGTAAATATAAATAAATAATAATAATATGAAAAGGAAATCGAAATATTAATTGAGAAAAGAAATAATGAAACAAAAAAGGATCCGAAACTCTAACTAATTAAAAGATCGAAAATTTACTTGGACAATGTTAATAATTAATAATATTATTATTAAACAGGGAATAATCATGATTATCATGATTAATCATGATTATTATTATCTGTTATTATTATATTTTTTTTTAAATACTATATAAATTCATTATATTGCTGTTTTTTAACAACTGGTTTGTCGGGTTGTTATTTTTTGGCAGGTTCCCGATTCTGGAATTCTTAAAATAGATGATCGGCAGCCAACAAAATTATGTATATCTTCATTCCACGTGATTATGGAAGTCACATGATTTATAAAAAATACGTAAGTACTTTGTATATTTAATAAAAATTAGGTTTTGCTGGTCTTCGAAAAACAAAAACTCTTTCTCCTTTCCATTTTTTCACATAGAAATCCGCAGTTAAATACTGTTTTTTTATTTACACTTTTTTTACGTTTGTTAACGCTCGAGAAGAAAGAGGACCACTGGGTGGCCTCTTATGGAAAGGTTCTTCTCCTTACCACCCGACCTCTGAAAGAAGTTTTTATAATAAAATATTTTTACCTCACACCTATATAGCATATTGAATAATATGGCTTTTACTTTTTCTAAACCCATTCCTTTGGGAAAATTTTCTTTCGAAGTCTCATTCCATAAATTTCACGTGACTAGACCCAAACGGGCTGGATGTAACAAGATTTACGAAATCAGAAGATCAAAAAGTTTCTTTTTTGAGTTAGCTGATCCCTCGGCAAACACCAATGATATTCATCTTAAAATATACACAAATGATTATCACATGAAATCTACCCCTATTAGCTACTCTTCCACCTGTAGCTTTCCTAATCTGAAATATCAGATTAGTAAGATGTTACAACATTTTTTTTCTCATCAAAAAGTCATCCCACGCTCCATTCAAAAGAGATATTTTAATCTTATTCGTTCCAAACTACTCGATAGATATTTCCTTATCAAATCACGTGCTGACAATGTCACACAAAAAAATTCCCGTACAAAAACTTTCTTTAATTTTTCTTATAAACGTTATCATTTTTACTTCGGTATTTTTACACCATGTAATTTTTCCACCACTTACAATTTTGGAACTGAACACACACAGTTGTGTAGTGTCCCCTCCCCTTACATCATGTCTTATAATAGACGAGCTTGCGTTTCTCATCAAAAAAATTTAGACATTTTTCACAATGTCAAGAAACACACCCCGCTATTGAACAATGACATTAACAACAACAAACAGTCTCATGCAAACCGCACTTATTTCCGATGGTGGAAGGAGACCACAAAACATGTTTACTCAAACCGTCTAGGAATTTCCTATGATGTCTCTTATTTAGCAAATGGATACAAATCTTTTCACTTATACAAGGACCGTCGTATGTACCGTAAACGATTGAATAATTTCTGTTCACATCACTCCGACAGTAGTAAAAGGAGTAAAAAACAAAAATCCCGCTTTCAGCGGGCATGTAAATCTGTTTTCTACAATCGTGGTAATAACAAGAAATCACAGAAACGCGTGGATACTCTTGAAGAAAAACTTCGCCGTGCTAAACAACACAGATTTTTATTTTTACCTTCACAACATATTAATAAACCTATACAACATTTGAAATATCACAAGAAAGTAGTGCTCAGAGATGAGAAACATTACAATTTTTATATACCTCCAGAAACCATCGCACCTCGTGGTGCTGTAGCTTGCTTATTAATCGCTCTCAAGCCGCCCCTTCGACTTTATCCAGGGAATGATTCAATTAGCACGTCAAATACTAGCTCGCCTGCCATACCCTCACAACCCGTTCTCGTCAAAGATGAGAAAACTTGGCATGATAAGTTGGGCATTTGGATTTCTAACGATCTCCTCCCTTACGTAAATGACGAACCTGTTTATTATTCTAAAAGACAGGCAAAACTCAAAGGTCGACAACATGAACCAGGCAGTGGGTACTGGTTAGATGGTATTAAAAAACGTAAAGAAGCTCACGAACTAGCTTTGCAACAACAAAAAGATCGAGAGGCATGGGAAACCGCACGCCTTGCTTTCGAAAAAGAACTTTCTGCCAGAGCTCAGCTCTGGGGTACCTCCTCCAACCGTATAGAATATCGTGAAGATATGACGAAAGATCTCACCAATTTTCAAGAACATTATCACAAGAAAATCACGCCTCTAATTGAGCGTCGTTCTGTCCTAGAGAACAGAATTAAACAAGGAAAAAATGTCTACAAATCTAATAAACAACTACTCCAATTAGAACAGGAACTAGGTTTTTTCAAGATCGATTATTTTTCTGTCATAGACGACAATGCACCCCTTTATCGCTACAAAGGACACACATCCGACGATACAAAGCAACTCGAGCTCAGGCCACATAAACGTCCTCCTACCTCAACTACAAATACCGATAGGCCTGTCATTCACATCAAGAAACTGAGACTAGATACTCTGTCTCCAGAAGACTTTAAAGTCTTCGATTTATCTTAATATTTTATAGATGCACCTATCAGCTTATTTTTTTTTATTATTTTTGTGGCACGCTGATAGTTATAGCTTACATTATTTTTAGCCACATTTTTATTTTTTTTGACTTGTATTTTATTACATCTTTTTTTTTTTGGGTTACCCCCACGTACACAATTTTTACCGATGTACAACAATTAGAATAGTGTGAACCACTCCACCTATTACAGTATTGACAGGTGGCGGTCTTTTATGACTGAAAGAAAAATACGGATCTTTTCTTCTTCCCTTAGTTTAGATTGTCAGTTCTTTGGTTTTTTTGGGATCGGTGTCGTATTTGGGACCCACCCTTGTTTCGTTTTATATACCAGAGTGGCGCCGTCCTCGGGCGGTTTGATTATAGCTTAGTATTAGATAGCGTTTGACTTTTGTTTCATCTTTTGTTCTTGTCTATCTTTCTGTAATCTAGTTCACGTGGATTTTAAAAATAAAAATAAAAATAAAATTAGGTTTTGCTTTTTTACATTCCTTTCAAAATTATTTAACTTCTTGAGATTTACATACAGTAATGCAACTGAAGTATAAGTATAAGAAAAAAGTTACTTGGTGATTATGTTAAGCGAGAAATTGGTTATGTGAAATTAAATATGTTGAAGTAATATTATAATTAGACAGGTAAATTATAAATAAAGAATTCAGCATTTTATGAAGATTAGGTTGATAATATTAAAGCAGAACATAAAAGTAATTCTAATTGGTCATAACACTTTGAAATGCATGAGGATCTAAGAGAAAATATTATATCATTAAAACTTAAAGGATGCTGATAGTGCAAACTACGATTGAGAAACTTCACCTGTTAAAGTCAAACTCATCATACCAAAGAGAAAGAGTATCAGCTTTGCGAGAGGTCTCATATTCAGAAGAGTATTGGATTTCTAAGGAACAGCTTGTATACTTCGAAAATGGACTAGAAGTTACCAATCGCAAGATTTCATCGTTTGCAACTTAGGATGAACTGTTGATATTCGGCAATACCGATTTACCCCAAAATGAGGGATTTTAAAATTAAAATCGGTTTTAAAATAACTTATCGTAATTAAGGATCAACCTTAAATTCGATTTTTGATTTTCTTTCTAATCAAACTTTTTTATATAATGCCGATCTGAATTATGAAATCATGGTGGCACGAGCACGAAATACTGTAAAATGATTGTAATTCGTTGAGATTACATTATCACCGATCACACAATTAAGCATTAGTTTGTAAATATAATTAAACTTTTATTATCGTACAATAACTATATGTGCATGAATGTTTATAGTGACGAATAACTATATATGTTACGTAATTATTAAAAGCATCTTTTTCTTTTTAATTATATTTATATATATATTTATTTATTTATTTATCTCATGTTAAAAAAAAAAGTATTCCTTTTTTTTTAAATTACTATTCAAATTATTTGCTTGAATTAATCATTATTAATCATTTTGTTATAGCACGGGGAAACATGGATGCAGGAGTTGAAGTAAGTGACTAATGATTGCTATTATTTGTTGATTATGTTTATTTTATTATTATCATTAAAATTATTATGGCTATTTTTATCTAGGAGAGTAATCCAATGTAGTAAGGCGTTCTTGTTTTATGTTTAGTCTACATATTTACAATTTTATGATAAGTCAAAATGTTGTAGACACTACTATTCATTCAAAAAAAAAGATAAACATAAAGTATAAACGTACAATGATAAACCAGATTCAGCTTAATAAAACTATGTTTTTAAATTTCCTGTAAAGTATTTTTTAATAAAGTAGTAGCAATTCAAAGTTGAAATATTTTACTATTAAATTAAATATTTGGCTGTTTTATTTTGACCAGAATTACATGTAAGTCTGGCCAATTTAATTATTAACTATGTAAATTTGGCTAGAATTAAGAATTATAATTTAAATTAAATAAATCTGACCAATAAAATTACAGGATTAGTATTACATAATGTAAAAAAGTTGGCCGCTTAAAAATTTTTTTGTTAGGACTAGGTTGTATGCACTGTAGTATAATAACATTAAATAAAAATTTTTTAATACTCATTTCCAATTTACTGTATATTATATAGTATTTTGTATAATAAAAATGTAATAAAATTAATATTTTAATTAAAGGTAGACAAATCAGCCCATATGCAGTGTAGGATTTGCAAAAAATTTTATATATTATTTTTACCTTAGGCCTAGGGGTGACCTATTTATAAGTAAGCGGAATCCTGTCTGGTCCATTCCCAACCTGTTTAATTCAGTCCAGGTTAAATTTATAATCTGAAACTGGATCAGACTGAACTGAATAGTTGAAACATCAACCCAGATTGAACCAATCTAAATTTTTGGTTCAAATTGTTGGATTAAGACTGACCTGATTAAAGCTTTAATCATGGAGTAAGCAGATAGTTGACACAAACTAAGCTTCATTCTAAATAAATATTTACATATATTTTTTTTTGTTTCAAAAGGACCCTGCTTACTTCTAATAAAGGTCTCTGGGCAAAATTTCAGATTTACTAGTAATTTTACCAACCTTTCTTATCTCATAATTTTACCATATATATATAGTGACTTTTTAAAATTATATTAAATTTTACCTTAGATTTTCAGAGACCTAAATTTTTTTAAATATTAAATAAACAAAATATTTTATAATAATCAATAAATTTTAAAAATTTTTTATTTTTACTAAGTTTAATTCTTATTCTTTAAAAATAAATAACTTTTATTAGTAAAAAAAGTACTTTGAATTACAAAAATACTATAAAAAAATCTTAAAGACACACATCTTTAACTTTACTTTAAAACTATTATTCACTTACTTCATATGGGCTGATTTGTCTACCTTTAATTAAAATATTAATTTTATTACATTTTTATTATACAAAATACTATATAATATACAGTAAATTGGAAATGAGTATTAAAAAATTTTTATTTAATGTTATTATACTATAATTTGGTAAATATTTCTTTTAAATTAATATAATTCTTAGCACTTACTATGTTAAAAATTTGTATCTCAACTTAAAACGTAAATATCTTCAGATCTAGTGATCCAATTGGCAAGCTCTTTTTTTGTTCATATAGACCAGATCAAAGGCTTTCCAAAGAGCCTAAATTTATAAAAAATGGATCAGTGAATCCCAAGATATTTGCATTTAAGCATGTTAAAAAGTTCGTACCTTAACTTTAAATGTAAATATCTCCGGATCTAATGATTCAATTGGCGAGCTCTTTTTTCGCCTATAAAGTTCAGAACTTTCAACGAGCCTAAAATTATAAGTGAATCTTAATATATTTGCATTTAAAGATGGTAATACAAACTCTGACATAAAATAATTATTTTTATTATTTGAAAATATTTATTATAATATCATCTTTTATATAATATTTTTATTATACTTTTATAAACATTTATAGCTACTAAGGCTATATAAATTTTTATTTTACTTTATATTTTATTAAAATATATTTACTTTTTAATAATATATGTTAAAAATTCCATATATATGAGAAATGGGTTTTTTATTAGTGAAATAGGTTTTTTCACATTTAATAATTTAAGTTTTGCAAATGTAAATTTTTGTTCAACTTATTATTTAGTCAAGTGATTATCAATCAGATGATTTTTTGGTATTACAAAACAATTTTGAGTAACAAAAATTGTGAAAATCAATCAATAACTCTTTTTAATGCAGAGTAAACAAATCAGCCCATATGTTCTTTAAAAAAATCTAATTAATTTTTTTTAAAAAAAAATAAATTCGTAATTGGTATTATTATGAAAAAATGCTCGTACTCCATAAGTATTAATCCAACTGCTATGAAAATATTTATCTAAATATTTTCGACCTTGCAGAACAACTTTACTTAAGCATGAAAAAGTGATTTCATATGACCAAAGTGCCCAAATTACACCTTAAAATCACTGATTAGGAAAATAAAAAAAAATTAAAAGTGCGAAAATTGCTCGTATTCAGTAAATATTAAACTGATTCTTATGAAAATTAATATTCAGGTAGTTTCGATCTCGCCAAACAATATTACTTAAGCTTAAAAAGGTGATTTTATTTGACTAAAATGTCCAAATTACGCTCTGAATTTAATAAACAAAAAATGAAATTTTAAGTTAATATTAAAATAAAAAATGCTCGTATTCAATAAATATTACTCCAACTGCTATAAAAATTCAAATACCTTACTAAACAACTTTCTTAAATAGTAAAATATAATTTGATTTAACCAAAGTACTGAAATTAAATTCTGAAGTTGCTAATTGCTGTAAGAATTTTTATATTTTAAAAGCTAATTTTTGTAATAATTTTCAAAAAGATAGTGCTAATGCAAATAAAATTAAAAATATAAAATGGTTTTTACAAGTATAAAGAAGAGAATAAATTTTTTATTTTGAGAAAAAATTATAAAACGTATATTACCAAATATTGTAATAATTGTTGTACAATATTTCAAATTAGTATATATAAAGTAAATATTAAATTTTATATACAATTTTACCTTATTATTTACCGAAACATTTGTAAACTTATATTTGATCTTACTTTATAAAACTGGAAACCTATTTTAACTTTACCTTACATATCTGGAGACCTTTATTTGTTATATATATAATTTTACCTTTATCTATTAAGAAACCTAAAATTTTTTTTTAATATAAATTTTACCTTATATTTTCAGAGACTTCTATTAGAAGTAAGTGGGGTCCTGTTTCAAAGACTAGATACATAAGATTGTTGCTATGGATTGCAAAGAGACGAACATTTATAGGTATGGGGAATTGTGCATCACAACTTTACCCAATTCCATAAGAACACTTGCATGTCTAAAAAAGTTTTATGTAAAAATGAAAAATGTTAAGATAATTTTTGATTTGTCATGTTACTGCTTTATAAATATGCATAATTCAATTTTTACATGATTATAGACTACCTTAACTACATATGCAATAAAGCAAATGACATTGCTTTATTCTATGTTCAAACATATAGAAGAAAGCGAAAGGGAAAGGATCGAGAAGAACATGCCAATATTGAGATCGGAGGTTGTTTTGGCAAAATTACTGGAACACCTTACTCAAAAGAATCACAAATATTGGAAATTTAATTTTTACTTTTTTATATGTATTTACATGCTTAATTAAGTTCTATAGTTTTCTTTTATTAATTGTGTGATTGTTTCATCCAAATATGACATATGACTATTGTTTATAGTCCATCTCATAGGAGGATGTTTAGCGTTAGATTTGTTTGATTACACTAACCTATTGCTTCAAAACAACTTTACAGAAACTTTAAATTTTTAAGTGATATCATTTCAATATCATTTTAATATCATTTCAATATCAATTTAATATCGATACGATATTGAAATAAAGTATTATCACTTCGATATCATTTCAATATTAAATTGATATTGAAATGATATCAAAATGATAATAGAAATGATATCAAAACAACATCTTTAAGTTTAATTTAAAGATGTCATTTTGATATCATTTCAATATTGATTTAATATTGAAATGATATCGAAGTGATAATACTTTATTTCGATATCGTATCGATATTAAATCGATATTGAAATGATATTGAAATAATATTGAAATGATACCATTAAGATAAACTTAACGATATCGATTCTATATTGATTAAAAATGGTAAGTTTCTGTAAAGAACTTTAAATAGTCAAAACATTTTTAAAGATGACGAAGACCTTGCTAATGACAACCAGATCACATCAGCAAGACTAAATTCTGCCTTTGCAGAAAAATCTCTTGATGCCCTATAAAAAATATTTTTGCTAAAAATATACTTAAAATAAACTTAAAATTTTATTTTATACTTAAAATAAACTTAAAATTTTATTTTATACTTAAAATATACTGAAATAGGCAAAAATTAAATATCATTTAAGTATAATTTAAGTATATAATAATATACTTAAAATATTCTTATTTTAAATATCCTTAAAATATACTGAAATGGGCAAAATTTAAATGTAAATTAAATATATTTTAAGTATATATTAAATACAATTTAATTCAAATTTTGCGAAAATTCAATTTTCAGTATATTTTAAGTATAAAATAAGAAAATTAAGTATATTTTAAAGAAAATTAAATATATTTTAAATATATTTTAAGTAAAAATTTTTTTTATAAGGATGCTATACTTGGCAAAGTAGGCATAATATAGTGTGATATAGTATTTGTCTATTCTCATGTCCTTCTATATACTTACACAATATGGCTACTTGCTACTCTGGAAATGTGTCAGTTTTAAAGTCATGTTCTAGTGTTTTGAAATTAACTGTCTTAGCTTAAGAAAAAAAATACAATTTTATCTCTATTCTATAATAAACTATAATTACATATGTACGATTTTGAATTTAAGAATTTTACATACCAATAAAATAATGTGCATATATAATGATCATAGACTAAGAATTTAAACTTTATTTAATGAGGCTCAATTAACAAAGATGCTCAGGAATAATTATATAGGTCTTCATAATACTAAACATACCTTAGGGCAATCTGATTCTTTTTGCATAATTTTTTCTTAAGTGGATCCTGTGCCTGTTATTTAATAAAATTATTGGAATCGCCTCTATAAAAGAATTCTATAATCTATATATCTTTCGTGTTATTTTTCTTGTACTTCAGTTGCAAAATCCACATTGTGAGTAATAAATGTCAAGTTCTAATCCAGTTAGGTGATCTAAAGTTTTAAGAAAATCAGGTTAACGTATTTTAGATGGCAGTTCAAGATATTTTGACATAATCTCTCGACACAGTTTTTCACGTTTATATTTAGAGCAATATGGATACCATGTATTATAATTCTTTATAAGAGAAAGAGTAGCATATTATTGATGATTTTTATTACATTTCCAGAGTAATTGGCTTTTGCAATTAATACTATATAAGAATCTGACAAACATTCTCCATCTTGACTATATGCAATAGATTTGGCCATCAAAATATCAAATTTTATACTAGCACAATGCGAACACCAATAGTTTTTGTTTTTAATGCCACTAATGGAAGCGAGCCATTCATTTGAAACATCTCTAGCATAAATGTATTGTATAATTAATGTAAACGTCAGATAAATGCTCTTTATTCCTGCTATATGCTAATTCTTTTGCATATTTAATGCCAAGTTTTCAGAATCACTGGCAGTGCTTTGAATAGGTCAGGTAATTTTAGGTAACCTGATCAGGTTGACTCAAAATAATCAGGTCAGGTTAGAGTTCCAATCTGTCATCCGTTCGATAGATAATCAATCTCTTCTCATTTATTTTTGGAAAGAAACATTTATATTTAATAATTTATAATTTAGGAACTGCATTCGATGTAAGGTGATCAAACTATACATTATTTAATTAATTGAACATAAAATAAATGGAGTGAAATCTTAGTCAGATTGAAATTTTCATCTGTCAGATGATATTTTAATCTGTTTCTAATTTCTTCTTACTTTCATTTTTAAAAAAAAAGTTTATTTATTAAATTATATACTGTATTATGCTCTTAGGATATCCTTAAAAAAAATGCTCTTTTATATTAATTAAATGAGTGTATAACTGTCAAAATGTGATTATTCGTCAGATGATGAATTGAAACTTTAGATCAGGTAATTTTAGATGACACTGATCAGGTTGACCTGAAATAATAGGTCATCAAATCTATGACCTAGTACCAGATCGGGTTAAAGATTCAACCTGACCTGTTCCTGAAAATAAAAAAATGTGGTTTTTTATTTATAAAAAATGACATTTTGGCATTTTTTTACTTTTATTTACGAAAAATGTTGGTTTATAACATTTTTTTTATATTTATTTATGAAAAAATGCCATTCTGGTGTTTTTTCACTTTTATTTATGAAAAATGCCGATTTATGGCATTTTTTTCATTTTTTTCACTTTTATTTATGAAAAATACCAGTTTGTGTCACTTTTTCATTATTTTTTATGAAAAAAAGCCAATTGGTGTTTTTTTACTTTTATTTATGAACTAGAGAACGGGAGTTCAGAGCAAAAAGTGATTTAATTAAACACAGGTAAATTTAACTAAACATAAATAAATTTAATTGAATAATAAAACAATTACAGCAGGGAAGCAGTTGATGAATCCAACACAATAGCTAGTCAAATTAATTATTTATGTAATACATTAATAAATAAGCTATGAAGTTCATATAGTAATAAAATCTAGCATTTATAAACTACGAATAAGCATATTTTGGAGAGTAATTCCACTCTGTGGTAGGACCCCAGAAAATACTTATATAGGTAAGATCCCAAAAATATTTTTTATTAATAGCTCTAAGCATAGGTTTTTGATATCTAATCTTAAAAATTATATAAATAAGCAAATCAATCTTCTAACCTAATTAAATTTTTATTATAACACATATAATTTATAAAATATATTTATTAATTATGTTGTGAAGCTAAACTAAACATAATATACAAGTAGATTAACAATATTCAATTAATAAAGTTAATAAACAGTAAAAGAAAAATTCAAAATTAATACTATTACAAAAAATGTAAGTTTCTCCATAAGTATTATACTTACATCCATAAAAATTAATATGTAGGTAGTTTCGACCTTGCTGAAAAATTTTCAATTAATTTAGAAAGTCGATTTCATTTGACCAAAGGGGTGTAATTACGCTCTGAAGTTGTAAACAGAGAAATGAAAAATTTGAAAATTAGTACCGTTATGAAAATGCACTTTCTCCATAAGTATTATACCCACACTCATGAAAATTAATATATAAGTAGTTTCGACCTTGTTGAACAACTTTCAATTAATTTAGAAAGTCGATTTCATTTGACTGAAGTGGTGTAATTATGCTCTGAAGTTGTAAATGAAAAACAAGTGAAAAATTTAAAAGTTATTACCATTATAAAAAATATGCTTTTCTATATAAATATTATACTTAGCCTTATGAAAATTAAAATACAAGTAGATTTAACTTGCTGAACAACCTTACTTAAGCATAAAAGATAATTTGATATAACCAAAGTGGTGAGTAGTGAAATCATACTATTTTAAAGTAAAATATATTTACAGTAATTTTATTTAACAAAATAAACATGTATAATATAGTAATTTTATAATAAAAATAATACACTGAGTTTAATAAAAATTAAAAAGATACTATTGAAAGATAATTGAAAAAAAAACTGAAATTTCATTAAAAAAAAATTTTTGTTTATATATTTATATAAAATCGTGAAATGTAGTACAAAATTAACACTCACCGTTAGTGAAAATAAAATAAAAATTAATTATAAATTCAATATATAATAATTTAAAAAGTTCTATAAATATGAAAAATAAGCAACTAAAAACTCTTAATAATACCAAAAATATGCAATTTAATTATTTTACATAGTATAAAATTTTCTCAAAATTAAGCATTATAATTTTTACATCATAAAATTTTTCTATATTGGCTAAGCATCTTGGTACCTTACATATATACCCTATAAAAAGTATTATACTTAAAATATATTTAAAATATATTTAAAATATACTTAATTTAAAAAATTGCAAAATACTTAAAATATATTTTTAATATATCTAAAATATACTTAAAATTATCTTAAAACATATGTCTAATATATTTAATTTTTGCCCATATACTTAAAATATATTTAAATTATATTTAAATTAGAATTTAAGTATATTATAAGACTATTATAAGTATATTTTTTATGTATTTAAAATATACTTAAAATATATTATAAAATATATTATAAGTATATTTTAAGTATGTAAAAAATATATCTATAATATACTTAAATTTGATTTAAGTATAATTTAAGTATATTTTAAGTATTTTGGCAAAAATTAAATATATTAGAAATATATTTTAAGATAATTTTAAATACATTTTAAGTATATTATAAGTATTTTGCAATTTTTAAATTAAATATATTTTAAGTATAATTTAAATATATTTTAAAAAGTTTTTAATTATATTTTAAATATAAATACTTTTTATAGGGATAGTAAGCATTTTCTAGGATCCTTCTGTAATGTAACTGGACTTTACTATTTTTAGTAACAGAAATCCATCCCAATCCATCCCAACTCATTTAAAATAGTGACAAATAAGGAATGACAAATAGAGATCAGACTGCAAAAAAAAATTTAAGTTGCTGAGATAAATATAAATAACGTGTTCCTCATGATCATATGACATGTAACAATAAACATCATCTTAGTTATACCACAAGGGTGGAATTACAAATATAATACTTTATGGTAAGATTTACAAAAATAAAAATATTATTTAACAGCCACAAGTTATAAGTATACAAAAAAAAAATTCAAAATAATTAAAACTGAATTTAACAGTTGTAATATTAATTCAATTTAAAATACTATCAATTAATGTGAAAAATATATAATAATTGTTATTATCAATTATATGCTTAATAAATTACCTAATAAGTAATAACAATGTAAAGAATAACAATAAAGAATAACAATAAAGTATGTAAATTACTTAATCTAATTATTTTCAATTTAGCCATAATATTGGTCATTTTCTCAATGCCATATAGATGGATTATTCTTAACAGATTGCAGAGTTTATAAAGTAAAATTTTATAAAAATATAAAGATCAAGATTCTTTTTTAAGAAATAGTAGATTTTAATTACAAAAATGATATAAAGATTATATATTTTAAGAATGGCAGATAATACATATAAAAATATTAATCCCAAAATGATTTCACAGGTCAAATGAAAAAAAATCAAATTTTGCTTCTCTTTACCGATTTGTGCATATTGCATACTGATTTGTGTATAGTCTTAATAAGCTTACAGATATTATGTAATTATCAAAGGAGGGGAGAGGGTAACCAAAATCTTACATTACACTTAATAAAATATATAATTTATAAATATTATAATTTGATTGGTTATTAAATCTGACAAGGGGGAGAGGGGAGTAAGTTTATATTAAACTGAATATTATGTAATATATGTAATTCCCCTTATCTATTTATGCCAATTTTGACAAAATCTGATTTTTATATTGATAATACTAATTTTAACAGCTAATTTATGCATAGCTCTATCTATTTATGCTGATTTTTGATAAAATCCAATTGTTATCTATTTATGCTAATTTTTGACAAAATTTAATTGTTATATCAGTAATACTAATTTTTAACAGCTGATTTGTGCTGTTTTTAAAATAAATGCTGATATTGAATCCAGAAATATTACATATCAAATGAGAAAATCAGATTTTGACAATTTGTAATAAAGTGAAGGTGAATATAGAATAATATATACTGATTTACAAATAGACAAGCCAATTATAATCTCACTAATAAATTAATATTCTGATACCTAAATGTTAGTATAGTCTGACTATATTTCAAAAAGTGATCAGATTCAAGTTATTTATGTAATCCATTAGAATTGTTATCCTGATTTTCATACAGATATCCAAATATCCCATACTTACAAATATTTTACATGTTTACAATTATTTTCAGATATATTTGTATACTTTTTTTTTGGTCAGTTACATTTGTATTCATAGGTATTATAATATGAATGAACTATTATTATTAATATTTGTTACTTTTTTATTTTAAACAATATACATATTCTAATTTGTAATACAATTTCTCCAATTTCTTAACAAGATCTATTGTAATCCATTTCCAACTTATCTTGGAAATACAACTTTGCTAATTCAAGATCATAAGGGAACTGATTCCCATTTTTGTGGTACCATTCACCATGTAATCTAAAATTCACAAGTTTTTCATCGCAAATAGGACATGGTGAATTCTACAGCTAAGCATATACAAAATTATAATTATCAATCCCTCTAAAACTATTTTGGAATTTCAAGTATGTAAAATGCTCTAACATGGATTTGATAATTAACTCTGAATCAGGTTTGGCTTCGAAGGTGATAGCCTCTTTTCTTCACATTGCTCAGAAAAAGATAAATCAGATACTTTGTTTTCTGGCTTTGAATCTAGCTTCTGATGCATGTGTTTCTGATAATTGCCATGGCTCATACCCAGTCTCTTTTTTATATTTTTTGTATAAGCTGGACTGAATCCTATCTATCAAAACACTTGGTAACCCAGTTAATTTGGCATACCAATCCAGGTATTCAGGAGTTAATTTTTTATTGGTCTTAGTCATGTTGCCTTTTTCTATAATTGCAAATCAATCTAATTAGGTAATAGTTGACATGTGTAAAAAAATGTCATTTAATAAATAATAAAGCGTCAGTTAGCAAATGTAGTCACAAAGTGACCTGACTATGCAACTATTTCAAGTTCATACTGTTCACATTTAATAAAATAGGATCCAGTTTTATATCTACCTTCTATGCTTTCTTCATCGCTATGATTTAACTTGCATAATGGGCATGATATCTCATCAGTAATTCCATAATAATACTAAATTCTTTATATAAATTAGGATAATAATCCTTGTTGAGAAAATAGGTGTGGTCATAGGTTGGCTTAGATTGGAATGCAGATAATACATTTGCCAATGTACTTACTCCCAAGGGATTCACTTGTATCTCAGTCTTACTGCTTATTTTTCTTTTTTTTTTTGAGCAGTTCTTTTTGTTTCTTGTATTATGATACAAAAATGATAATGACTAAATTATACTTGGCAGCATCATTAAAGTAATTATTTTAATTCAAAAAAGAAAATCTAATTGGTTGCTATTTTGGAAAACGTATAATATATAAAACGAAATCCAATGGTTCATGTTTCATCAATTTTATTTTGGGTATTAATCAGAATTTCAGCCCCACCAAATCCATATCACAACAAATTCTCATATTTGGATCGCGAACCATTCAAGGGTAATTATCAAACATTGTGCTATATAAAAGTCCTTATTATAATATAAGTATAATAGTTATGAATTAGATAACCAATAATCCAAGAGATTATTGCTGCTGAAAAATACGAGTGACAATACTCGATTTTTTAATTAAATATTTTCTTTAAAAGTATAAAAAATAATATTTTCATGGGATATCACGTGTAATGTAAAATATTTAGTGGTGGGTGAGCATTCTTAAAAAATCTATCTAAAAATTGTCATCTGCTTTGTTCGTTCTTATAAAGAATAAATGGGTTAACCTTAATTTATAGAGATTTAATATTACATAAAAAACCAAGGCTAAACCAAATCGGAACAATTAATAATTTCCGAATTAGTAAACAACGAATTTTATGAATTTAATCAAGTGTATATATAGTATATTATGAAACTGAAAATATTATAAATATTATACTACGACTTGGTCAAAATTTATGTAACAAAAAAATGTGACATATTAAAAAATAGTTATTTTTTTTAAAAAAAAATCCGATAGAAGCAATAAATATTTCTTCTTACCATTTAATAATAAATCGAAACTTTTAAAAATTTTATATTAAAAAAAGTAAATTTACTAGAATTTTCTCACATTCCTAATTTTAGATAAACTCCTGTTTCGCAATTCATGTTTTGGCGCAGTAAATTAACAAATAAAGTCAAGCTCCTCCTTATATCGTTTCGACGATATATTTTTAGCAAAATGATTGTCAGAAAAAAATCGATTGTATAGACTGAGAACCGAAACTTTTAAACTCCGTACAACAAATATCCCCTGGAGAAACAATTATTGTTAACATTTTTAATTTAAGCATTGTCAAAGAATTATTTTCTAATAAATCTTTTTAATGAGAAAAAAATCATATATAAATGAGAGAAAAAATTCTTCAAAAATTGCGCAACGTAACATTCAAATTCATTATTAAAAAAAACAATATAGTTAAACATACTGTAATAAACATTAAATTATGGATGAACTGACCGAATTTAACTATTTTATAGTGCTCATAACGTTGATGATCATGGTAATTATTAACGTCTGGAAATTTTTTCTTTTTTCTTTTTTTTTTTTGACTTTTGTTTATTTTCTTCTTCAGGCTTCCGTACATAATCTTATTAAATCCATATCGCTTTATCGAGCTCATATTTTTAAAGTGTCAAGTACAATAAAAATTATTTTTAATGTTTGTGGTCTTGCGTGTGGTATATCCAATTTAGTAGTACTTTTTACATCAACCGCTGCGACTTTATCAAAATGTTTGGCTACTACTTATTTGGAAATGATAACGAATTTCGCATTTTCAGAATTGGTTATGATTTTCTTAATCTGGAAGTTAAGGCAACTTGGGAAATCTGAAAATCATGATTATATCGGATATGGATTACTTTTAACGAGAAGTTCGCTTCATGTAAGTAAAAAAATTATTTTTAGCGAAATATTAATAATAATAAAAATAATAACATCATTGTTATATTTAGATTATACACGTCGTATTAACAAAACCGCAAATATTCTTTGATCCTGTTTCATCTAAATGTGAAAAAAACGCAAATGATTGGAAGACATTTTTGTTAATTGCAACTGTAACCGATATTCTCATAGATGTTTACGTTGCATTTCGTTTTTTTCTATATATCAGAAATGCGAAATCAATTCATTCTAATAGATTAATTATATGGGATTCGTTACGTATATTTATGGCATCAATACAAGATATAAGCATTATAGTATTAAGTCATATAAGCTATCCAACTATTAGTTACACTATATTATCCGTTATTTTCATTTCTTTATCATATGTAATAACTATTGATGTAGGAAAATCTGATAATCCCACAGATGAAGGCAGTTTAGAAGACGATTTAGAAAGAACATTAGATGACATTTCAGAAACTTCAAATTATAGTGTAAACATTGTTTTAAGAGCTTCAAATGGAATGTTGGCAGATACTCCACTAAAAGATGTTCGTGATATAATTAAAATGGAACAACAATATAATATTGAAATGTTAGGTCCAAACGTTGATGTTGAAGTTTCACAACAATCTTTATCATTTTATGAAATAGTATCAATTATTTTTGGTGAAGATTAATAATAATAAATTAAGAACTCTTTTTTTAGGTATAAAGGATTAAGTAATTAATAATAATAAATTATTATCTAATAAATAAACATTATAAAATATTAATTTATCGTTTTAAATTGTTTTAAAAAAATTTGTATCTGAAATCGAAATTTTTTAATGACAGAACGATTTCTGTATAATAATCTTGCAAAGATCTTATTATTCTCGCTTATCATTTCTAATTTCTTTTAGGACTTTTCTTCCTTATGATCCAAAAATAGACCATTTTGAATGATTTTTTGACAGGATATTCGAGTGAGTGTGTCTGTGCTCTCATACCTAGTTATTAATCACAATTGAAATGACCAAATATGGTCAAGTAACATAATAGCGACTAATAATCCTTTTTTGTCAATCTTTGAAAGCTTCTTAATTTTAATATACTTATGTACTGTATATCTATCGTTAAGTTATATCACATATTTTTATTCAGACTTTCCTGAAGAAAAGGGTGTTTTGATTCGGAGCGTAGGAAATTTATGATATAACGTATGTTATTTTCAACTGATGACTAGTTTAAACATAAATCAAAGGTATATAGTAAGGGTGCTGTCAAGATATTACCTAATATTTTAGGGGGAGGGAAAGATTACATACAATACTATATAAGGAATTATATATCTTACCTGAGGGGGGTGGGGGTAAGCTCTTATATTAAAAGTGATATTAGGTAATTTATATGATAGACTAAATTGTTCGGCCTTTATTGCGGCTTATCAAACATCAATGAAACGTTTTTTCTTTTAATTTCGGAATTATCGGAAGATATGATAGTTATTATCAGTTTAAGGCCATTCCAAATTAATTTTTCTCTATTTTTTGAAAATTTAAAAATAATTTAAACTCACATGTTCACATATGTTTAAAGCATCCCCTCTCTTTTCTGAAATTGGGTGTACCGAATAATATGTTTAAATATCATTGTTGTTTAAATTATTCCCTCCCCCTCTCCCTCAAATTTTTCAGCGTTAAACTAATTATTGTAGTTAGAATGGCCTTATACGTATTTCCTAAAAAATCATAAGCATATCCATTTTAGGCAATCATAAGAAAATAATGCCATTTCAGTATGACCTGGGTAAAATATTTTGCCGAAAATTACTATTAGTTTATAATAATTGTGTCGTGAGATTGTTACACGTTCAAGAAAAAGTTCTCGGCATATTTACCAAAACTCTAATTTAATTTATAGAATTTCTAGCCACAAAGGGAACTTACCGACTTACCATATTTGTCATTTAATATAATTTACACTACGCGCTATACGCCACTCTCAAAGCCGCCAAGAACAAATAATTTACATATGCGGATATCAATAATCGTTCATCTGTTTTTTGAAAGACGGACTTCGGAAAAGTTAAAAAAAAAAAAAATGTATATAAACGAGAAAAGAATTTCTCAACTTAAATCATTCGAATTGAATAATTTTATAAATATATATATAATCACATAAATTGTTTACATTTTTTTTTTAAAAAAAAAATTTAAATTTTTGTAATATTAAATCAATTTTTTTTTCAAATTTTTTTTACATCAATTACCAAATTTCTCTTCTTTTTTTTTTATTTTAAAAAAAATTAAAACAAATCATGTCTAAAGTTAATTACGCCGAAACTTTTCGTCCTTTAACTGATTTATTCACTCAAATGCAATTGAATACAATTCTTTTGGCGTACCTTCCACAAAAATTAGAATCATATTTGACTGGAATCATCACGGTTGATATGTTTATAACAAGTGTTATAGCTTGTGGAATTTCCACTTTATTTCCTGCATTGTTTCAATTTATTACTATGACAGGACTTCCATGGGGAAATAAAAAAAATGTTACAATGCAAATTGAATATTATAGTGAAGGAAGATTTGGTTACCCGTGCCCAAATGTATTTTACGAAGCGTTATCTTGGTTAATTTCCCAACAAACAAAAAAATTAAAAGATGGTTCATTCATTATTCAACCTGTAAATTCGATCTATGAGAACGATGATGATGATGATTGTGCTCCTCCAAATTTTAATGTTCTTCCAGAAAAAAATCAACAAATTACAATCGAATATAAAGAAAAAAAATATCATGTCACTTATATTATTCCTGAACATCCCAAACAAGAGAATAATGATAATAATGACCAAATTAGTAAACAACAACAATTGAAACCTTCAATTTATTTAACAACCGCTGAAAATCCGAATGAAACAAGTGTTAATACTACAACTGAATTTTTAAATGAAATTGTAAGATCTTATTTAGAAACTTTGAAAAAAATGCAAGTACGTTCAAGATACGAACGAAGTGAATCTTATTGGCATTACGTTCAAACATTATCTTCTGCTCGAGGGTTAGATAGTATTGCGTTAGATGAATCACAAGAAATTTTATTGAAAAAAGAATTGGAAACATTTGTGAATGATAAAAGTTTTTATGAGAGAATTGGAATGCCTTATAGACGTGGTATTTTATTATATGGAAAACCAGGAACTGGAAAAACTAGTTTAATAAATGCCATTTCTTCACAATTATCTCGTAATATTTATTATTTAAATCTTAAAAACATTAAAAATGATAATGAATTAAGTGCTGCATTTAGTGAAGTTCCAGAAAATCAAATTATTGTACTTGAAGATGTTGATACACAATCAAAAATTCTTCATAAACGTACAAAAAATTCTAAATCATCAAAAACTTCTAATAAAAGTGATGATAAATCAAAAGATGATAAAGTTGATAAGGAGGATAGATTTTCAGACTTTAGTTTATCAACTTTCTTGGGATGTTTGGATGGTCATATTTTAGCTGATGGAAATATAATTATCATGACAACAAATCATGTTGAACATCTTGATCCTGCTTGTATTCGTCCTGGTCGTATGGATGTACGACTTAATCTTGGTTATTGCACTCATTATCAAATTAAAAAAATGTATAAGAGTGTCGCTGAAAATCCCGAAGCTGAATTTCCTCAAGATATCCTTGAAAAAATTCCTGAAAAATCATTGCCTCCTTGTGAAGTTATGATGACCATGATTTTATATCGCAGTGAAATTGAACTTATTCCACAAAAAATTTATGAATTAGTCGCAAAATACAAAGATATAAACTCTGAAGAAGCATCTGCTGATTTAACGGAAAAGAAAGAAACAGAATCGGAAGAAGTTAAGGATAAAAATAATGATAAGAAGGAGGATATTAAAAGCGAAAAGGAGGAAATTAAGGATGAAAATAATGATAAGAAAGAGAATATTAAAGGCGAAAAGGAGGAAATTAAGGATGAAAATAATGATAAGAAAGAGAATATTAAAGGCGAAAAGGAGGAAATTAAGGATGAAAATAATGATAAGAAAGAGAATATTAAAGGCGAAAAGGAGGAAATTAAGGATGAAAATAATGATAAGAAGGAGGATATTAAAGGCGAGAAGGAGGAAATTAAGGATAAAAATAATGATAAGAAAGAGAATGTTAAAGGCGAAAAAGAGGAAATTAAGGATAAAAATAATGATAAGAAAGAGAACGTTAAAGATGAGGAGGAAAAAATTAAGGATGAAAATAAAGATAAGAAAGAGAACGTTAAGGATGAGGAGGAAAAAATTAAGGATGAAAATAAAGATAAGAAAGAGAACGTCAAAGATGAGAAGGAGAAAATTAGGGATGAAAATAAGGACAAGAAAGAGGATATTAATGATGAAATTAAGAAGAAAGAGGTTGTTAATGAGGATGTTAAAGACGAAAATAAAGAAGACAATAAAGAGGATAAGAAAGAGGAAGAAATCATAAATGAGGCAAATATAAATGATTTAAATGAAGTAATAAACGCTGAAGAAGATAGCGATAGTATTACAGACGTAGAATTAGAAATTGAAAACGACAAGATAAAACATTTTAAAACTTTAGAAACATTTACAATCACACCACAAATTGCCAAAAAAATTATTGTACAATAGAACCTAGCTTTATAAATATATAAAAAATTTAATATACTTTGTCACATTCACAGTATTAATAAAAAATAATACATACAAAATCGCCAAAATTTATTTTTTCATTCTTTATGAAACTTGATTAAAAAAGCAGCGCATAAATTTAACCACTAATGTTTAAACATAAATATATAAGAAATTGAATCGTTATTTTCGCTGAACTATAAATGAGACTGGAATTCTTTACTAAAACTAATTCCATTTTTAAAGCCTGCCGATTTAAATCTGATTTCTCAGAATATAAGATAGTGGAATTTTTTATTCTCCATATATATGATCTGTATAATTTAATTTTAGACAATAATAATTAACAAAAAAAATTACTTTTTTTTTAAAATACTACATAAATAAATTATTTTATTATTTAATAGAGACAGTATATTATGAAATTAAACTTTATAACTTTTTACAAATAGGGTTAGACATGCGATCAACACTCACCTTCTATACCTTCTATAAAGTATTTCCAAACTAAAATCGAATTTTCCAAAGTGCTATTATTCATCGACAGAAAAATTTTCATTATATAAGAATTTGAAAAACTATAAATATGACGAATTTTCTACATTTACTTATACTGTAATATTATCAAAATGGAACTTGTAAAATTAAATGATGAAAATTCTTTTGATCCAACACCAAAATTAAAATCTAGTCCCGTACCAATTTTATTTGTTTCTTTTAATGAGTATGATGAAAATTGTATTCATTGTGGAGAAAAATACATGAAAACGCCTACCGGTACTTATGAACAAAGATATTGCAAAACGTGTTTATCGAGTTATTTAACTAATATAACCGATAATAATATATACTTGGACGTATATTTATTCACAAAGGACTTGGAATGTAATGAACATGAAATAAGTAGAACAAAAATACCACAAAATATTCAAGAATGCTGTAGAAATTGTTTAACAATATTATGTTTTAAACAAATACCTGGTAATTATTATTATCGTCATTATAATTATCTTCCTTATGTGAATTACAAAAACGTGATTGAAAGTGAAAAATATTGTAAACTATGTGGAAAATTATTATCTCATTATAAGGAGGAATTTAAATTATGTTCAGATTGTTATCTAATATCTTCCGGACGTATAGAATCAACCTTGACTAAAAAACTTATTTCAATTATTTATTTGCCATGGTGGGAAAATAGATCTTATTGTTATTGTAATGAAAAATTAGTATTTACATCAAACTGTCAAAAGTATTGTGAGGAATGTTTCGTATTTTTTATCGGATGTAGATATTGTTTAACAACAAATATTATTTTTGGATATACAAATCAATCACAATGTAAAAAATGCAAAAAAGTATCAACCATTACAAAGCTTAATAGTATTATTATCCATGGGTATAGTGATTTAGATGATTTTCTTGCTAGTGCAAGATCATATGAATATGATATAGTTAAATTTGCTAAATATGTAAAAAATATTGATAAGTATTTCGTTCCATTCATAATATGTAGAAAATTATTAACAAATAAATCACGAATGTTGAAATATATACCATATTCTCAATTTACAAATGTAAAAAAAATAGCAGAAGGAGGTTATGGTATCGTATATCAAGCAAATTGGTTAAATGGTAATTATTGGACTAAAAATGTCATTTTAAAAAGATTTAAAAATTCTCAATATAGTAACAAATGTTTTTTGAATGAGGTAAATACTTTAAAAATCTTATTTATTTTATTTAATGTTTGTAAAATATTTTAATTTTAATCTTGAAATTTATAGTTAAAATCGAATTATCATTGTTATAAATTATTTGGTCTTATTAAACCTTATGGATTTACAAAAGATCCCAAATTGGATAATTATATATTAGTCATGCAATATGCATCAGAAGGAGATTTACATAAATATTTACAGAAGGAATTTACAGAAATTGATTGGAAAACAAAAATAATTATTTTAGAATATATTTCAAGAGGGTATTTATATTTTAAATACATTGGTAAATGATTAACTCGTAATACTAACTTGTTAATTATTTTAGACTCTTTACTATTCATGATGAAAATTTCATACATCGAGATTTACACAGTGGGAACATATTGGTTGATGATCGCTCATATAATATGCCGTAGGAGATCTAGGATTATCACTTTCTGCAAATGATACGTTATCGAATAATGAAATTTATGGAGTAATACCTTATATTGCACCAGAAATATTTAAAGGGTCTACATTTTCTAAAAAATCTGATATTTATAGTCTGGGTATGATTATGTGGGAACTTACAACGGGTTGTAAACCTTTTGCTAATGTTGAACATGATCATAGACTTATTTATAATATTATTGATGGTGTACGACCTGAAATTACAGAAGATACACCAGATCATTATGCTAATGTAATGAAAAGGTGTTGGGATTCTGATCCTAAAAAAAGACCTTCTGCAGGTGAAATTTCTAATATGTGTTTAAATTGGTATCGTCAATCTAATCAAGCTGCTGAATTAAAAAGAAAAGAGTTAATAAATTCAAAGAAACTTGGTCCCAAGTTTAGTGAAAAGCCTCATCCAAAAGCTATTTATACAAGTAGACCAATAAGTTCTTACATTTCAAAATGCTCATCTATATTTTCTAAATGTTCATCTATCAATTCTTCAAATGGTATGTGTATTATACTATTTTAATAATAGTCATCTTTGGATAATAAGTTAAATTTCTTTTTTTGATAGATTATACTTCAATAGAAGTAGTATTAGACATAGACATTGAAAGGTATTTAAAATTAAAAATATTTTATTAATTCGAAATAAAATCTTCAACAAAATACTATTTATATTAGTAGTAAATCCAAATTACTTGGAACTAAGAGAAAGATTGAAGAATTATTAAATGACAATTCTTATGAAAATAATGGTAAATATTTTATTTGATTAAACGTTATCAATATTTGTTGTCTTATTTTATTTATTTATTTTTAAAAAAAAGGAAAACCGAAAACACTAAAATTAGTTCCAGGCTTCCCTCATTAGATTTAAGTACTAAATAGTTCTTAAAATTTGATTATAAAATAATAAATATATGTTGGAAAAAATTAACGGTTAAAAAGGGCTTAATCAATAGATTTGTTTCGTGTATAAAATTAAAATTCATTTATACTTTTGTTCATGAAAAATGGAGGATTTTTTATAGCGTGTTATGACCGAAATCGATCTTGTTAGATTTTATAAGAATCAAATTGCGCGATGCTGATGCATATAAATAAACATCATTTTACTGATTTTTTACCAAGTATCTACCACTTTTTAGATTAGAACAAAAAATTGGTAAAATTAAAGAATATATATTATTTCAGAATAATTTTACTTAGGTATATATATTGTGGAAGTGTTGATTTGACAAAATTAATTCCTCACGAGATAATAAACCTCTTGTTATTATCAGATGAATTTAAATTACAACCTTTAATCACGTATATTTCAAGAAATATTAATTAACAATCATGATGATTCTATTCTTAAAGAAAATTTTGAAATTATCGAGTTAACTTATCAAAAAAAGTTTTTTTAATAAATTATGGGATTACTGTATTCAAGAATTTGTTTTAAACCTGATCGATTATTTAATTCCACCAAATTTCTCACTTTGAATCCATTTATTTTAGAAATAATTTTAAAACGAGATATTATTTATCATCTGGGAAAATTTATTAAAGTGGACGTGTGGACAACAACAATAACCTATATTCATGAACACTTATCTCCAAATGTAATTAAAAACATTCAATATGCATTTGCGCAATTATATCGTATCATTGCGAAATTTTTTTTTAAAACCTTGTTAAATTGTATTTGTCAAATGCTATTTATTTCGATGATTTTTTACGGCATGATATCACTTTTTTGATCATTTGTAACCATTATTCAATAATGGGAAATTCTTGTTCATTCCCATATTCGCATATCTCTTTTCTTGGAATGATATTCCGAATATTCACTACTTAAAAAAATTTGTGTTTCGATGTATGGCCAATTGGCTCTCCCGATTTCTCACGTGTAGATAAATTTTCTAATTTTTATTAAATTTCATCATTCATCAGTGAATGCAAATGTTCCATTAGACATCAACGAAATTAATCGGGCAGTAATACCGCGGGACCTTAATTGCTTGGATTGGAACTTAAACTCTGATATGCTTACAAATTTTCCAAAACAGCTGATTCTATTAAATTACACTGAATTCAGTGATGGGTAATACGCATGATGTGCATGATTTCGATACTCTTTTTTGTGAATACAATTTTTAAAATGAAAGTGAATTGTTAAATTGTTTAACAAGTGTAACCATATTAGATAATAATTGAAGCAATTTTATTAAATTTAATTAATTTTAAAATATAAAGTGAAAAGAAAATTTTTGATAGAAATGATAAAGTCTATTTCTTGCATTAATCTTAATGCATGGTATAGTATAAAAATCTCAAAAAAATAAATGCGACATCAACAAAGAAGGTATTTAATGAATATATTAAATTATTAGATTATCTGCAGTCATCCGCATTAAGATTCATGTTATTTTGATTCTATCCAAAATTATAATTTGGCCGGAGTTAAAATTACTTGTTAAAATTTAAATAATTTTAAATAACAAACATGTGAAATAATTATTGTAAAAAGAAATATTTTTTAAGTAAAAAAAAATTTGTTTATACATAAAAATCAAATTTCTATATTTTCCTTAAATACTAATAACAGCCCTTTTAACATAATTTTTCTTATAAATTTATATATAATAAAGTTGAAACAATGTGTCAAAATTTATTAAAAATTATATATAAAAATTAATTTTACTCAAGTAATAATCTTTTTGAGAAAATCTTTTTTCTTTTATAAATTGCATGAAAAAATACTATATAAATTTTTAGATTAGTAATAATTACTACAGTGATATTTAGCAATTTCTGTAAAAAAATACCAATTACTTTGTAAATATTCAAATTAATATAATAAAATTTATTATTTAAAACAATCTAAATAATTTTGTTTTAATTAATTCTTAACTAGTTAAATAATACAATTTACTAATAAATAAATAATATAGTAATAAATATATAATGTGTATCTTCATATTAATAAATGCATTAATTAATACTATTTTACATATTTTCTAAAGTATACCATATTTTTTAACTGCTGTATTGATTTATATTGTTTTATACATTAAACTATATTTTTAAATATATTAATATATAAAGGATTTGTTTTTTAATACTTTTTAATATGTAGTATGTTTTAATATATTATATATTTACTTAAACTTTAAACTTTTTAATAAAATAATATACAAATTATTTGTAATAATATTTATTAATAAATTAAAATAATTACTATAAATTTTTATTAATATTTAGTTTTTTAAATTAAAGTTTTTTACTAATTTACTAATAGTAAGTATTTATTTTTAGATATAAATATAATTATTTAATGTAATAATATAAGTTATAAGTTAAAAATTACTGCTAACTATTCATATTATTAGTCTATTAATATTTAAAAAACTAAAACATTTAATATTTCAATAAATTAACTGAAGTTTAACTAATAGAAATATAGGTATCTGATCAAAATCTCAACAGTCACTTGCATGACTAACACAAGATCGACAACAAAATCTCGACAATCCAAAATCTCGGCAATCCAAAATCCCGACAAGTCATTATATCAACAATTTTGTGATGTGTGTTTTAATAAAATAATTGCAATATGTAATATTTAGTTTAAGTGTGTTATAATTTTGTCGGGATTTTGACTTGTCAGAATTTTGACTTGTCAAGATATTGGATTGTCGAGATTTTGTTGTCGGTCTTGTGTCAGTCGCTCAAATGATTTTTAAGATTTCGTACTAAAACCAGAAATATAATATTAATCTAAATTAAAAAATTATTAAAATTAATTTATATAAATTATTATATTGTATTTTAACTTTTAATAATACTTTTAATTTTTAAATATAATTTATATTGAAAAATATATATAAAAAATTATGCTTATTACTTATACTTATAAAATTAAATATATAAATAAATTAAATATTATTGAATAATATTTAATTAATAAAATAAAGAAAATTAATAAATAAAAAGAAATTTAAAAGTTAATATAAGGCCAAGTAAATAAAATTATTCGTTTCTCATAACTGGACGGGTCATATAAATGTTAAAAAAAGATAAAAAAATTTATTTTATTTAGTCATGTGATTTTAGTTTTGACCAATCATAATCATAAAAAAATATTTTTTTTTTCCACTAGCAAAAAATTTATTAAATCAACCAATCAACTTCTAGGAATCGGCTAAATTTTTATTGAAAAATAAATTTTTTTCCAGGCGGCCGGGTCAAATTTAGCAATTTTTTTTCATGAGAAATGAATAATTTTATTTCTTTAGCTTAATGCTAGAAATTTATATTTAACAATAAAATTAAATAATTAAATATCTTATTAGATATCATAATAAAAATTACAAATATTATTAGAGACATAAAATTTATAAAGTATCAAATTTTATTATAATTATTATATTAAATATGCTATTGTATATTGTAACTTTAAAGTTAATAAAAAATGAACTTAATTATTATCTTAAGATAACTAAAGATTGTATTGACTTATATAAAATAATTAATAATAATATATTTAATAAATAGAGATAATAGTAAACAGTATAGTAATTAGATAATTATATAATACAATTGTATAATTTTATATAACTTAAAATAGTATAAAAAGTTAAGACTAATTATATAATAGTAATAATCATATTATTATATAATAAGAAATAAAGAATTGTATATTTATATAATTCAATAAAATGTTAAAAAAATAAGTAAAAACTAAAATTAATATATAAAATTCAAATTAAATATAAATCAATATATATATATATATATAAATTTCAAAGAAATTAAAAGAATCAAATAAAAATAAATCAAAAAAAAAAATTGGTAAAGATAATAAAATATATTATAAATTAAAAGCAAAATTCCATCAAAAAATATACCTTTTAGTTTTGTAAAAATAATTTTATTAAATATATTTTGTAATCTAGCATTAAAATTAAAATTTTATTATAAAATAATTTAATATATAAAGTTTATATTAACAATAAAAGATGAATATAAAATAAAATAATTTTAATGTAAAATTTAGATGTAAAATAATTTTAAATGTAAAATTAATAGGAATAATCTTTTTATTAAAATATATTTTAGTAGAAATTTTTAATAAAAAATTTATTAAAAAGTTATAAATACTTTTAACTTTATTTTAATTTAATAGTAATCTAGTAACTAGTAAAATATTCTATAAATAAATAAATTAAATTAAATAAAAGAATAGTAATATTTACTTAATAGATAAATGTTTAAATATTATATATTAATTATTTAATTATATATGAAAAAATTAAATTAATTTGTGATCTGCCTCTGAACTAGTGAAAATTATTAATATATATCAGAAAATTATTATTATAAACCAAATTCTTGATATTAAGTAATTTTCAAACAAATTAATCAATTTTTTTTAAAAAATAAATATATTGGAAATAGTTTAAACTTAAAAATATATTAAAATACCAATATTATTTTATATTTTTGTAAATAAATAAATTTAATATCATATATTTTTAAGAATTAGAATCCAGTGTTACTAAAAAAAGAAAATTTTAATTAATGATATTATATAAAATTTAAACTTTAATTTTATAGGTTTTTTGCCATTATTTACTAACTTTTTAATTGTAAATTTTCAGATAGTTTATGTTCAATTTCAATTTCAAATTTAACACTAATTTATTATATTCATAAAAATGCAATAATTTTTCACCCAGTGATTAGAAAAGGATGATTTATAGTTCTTTAAATTTTTCTTATCAAGACATATCTAATGATACTAGTAATTATATATCCATCTTTAACATCAAAGGATAGTAGGATAGTTTTGCATACTGGTAAAATATTTTTTTACTGTTTTTTGATGCTAGAATTATAAATTACTATTATTAGATGTAACTTAATGAGAGAATCTAAAGAACTATAGATCATTTTTTTTTAATTACTGAGTGGAGAGTTATTGCATTTTTACAAATATGATAAATTAGAGTTAAATTTGAGGTTGAAATTGAGCACAAACTATCTGAAAATATAAATAAAAAGTTGGGTAAATAATGGCAAATAACCTATAAAATTAAAGTTTAATGATAAATTCTACTAAATACTATTAATTAAAATTTTCTTTTTTTAGCAATACTGGAAAACAATTCTTAAAATTATATATAATATTAAAATTATTTAATTATGAAATACAAGATAATATTAGTATTTTAATACTTTTAAGTTTAAAACATTTTTAATATATTTATTTAAAAAAAAAAAATTGATAAATTTACTTAAAAATTGCTTAATATTAAGAATTTGATTTATAATAAGGGCAATAACAGATATTACCTAATATCAGTTTATTATAAGAGCTTACTCCCCCTCCCCCTAGAAAATTAGGTAATATCTGTCACTGCCCTAAAAGTTTTAGTATATATTAGTTGCTTTTACTAATTCTGAGACAGATCACAAATTAATTATTCTATAAAATCTGAATTTGATAATTAAATATAATAGTTTTACTGTAATAACTTAAATTAAGAATAACAAAAAATCTTTTATTTTAATTTTTAGATATAACAAATATTAATAAATTAATAGAAATTTAACTTATAATATTAATTATAGTACAATTTTCTGAAACTAAAAACTTTAATATTAAATATATAATTCTATATAAATTCTGACAAAAAAATTAGAAATCATCTATTTGGAAAATTATTTTTACATCCTTCAACTATTTCTACAACCATTACTAATGCTTTACATTGTGTAGCAAAGAAAAAGGTCTAAAAAAATTAAAATTTTATAAATCTAAACTATTTTTTAAAATAAATATTATTTAAATTTTTAAAAAGTATCTAAAATAAAAGCTATTAATATTTAAATTAATAGTTTTATATAAATAATTTCAATTTAAATCATATAAATATAATTTTATTAATCAAAATTTTTTATAATTTGGATTGAAATTATATAAATTCTATAACATTAATTTTTATTAAATATATTCAATAATTAATTAATTTTTAATTATGTAATTAAAAAATAAATTTGCAAAACAAGTAAAAATACATATACTGTATATTTTTTTAATTTTTTAACTATAATTTAATTATTTAAGTATTTATTAATAAAAAGTACTTTTAAAAAAAAATTAATAATTAAGAAAAAAATATATAAAAATATTAATACAAAAGAATTTATACTAAGAAATTATAAATATAAAATTTAGGGTATTATTAAATTTTATCAGTAGTAATTATCATTATTAGTGATTGTTTTACCATTTAATTCTAGCAAAAAAAAACAATTTGGCTAAAATTTAAATGTTAGTTTATAATTTTAATCAGAGTTAAAAAATACTAATTATAAAAATTTAACTTAAATAAATAAATATTAATTTGATATTAACTATGATAAAATTTTGAAATCTTTATCAAAAAAAGTGAAAAAATTAAAAAAATCAAAATTTTGCATTTTTCTTAATTTTTTTTTTGATAAACAGCCTATTTGATCTTAGACAAATTTTTTCTTTTTGTAAATTTACATATAGAATAACTGTTTAATATATACAACTGATTAATTATTTAATTTAATATTAATCTTATAAAATTTAGTGAACAATTATTAATTATAACATTTGATATTCTTTAAAATTTATAATTACCTATATTATATAAATAACTTTTAAGTTATTAATAATTATACATTTATTGTTTATTAGGTCTAAATGTAATAATTTAAAATTAATACTGATCCTATGAGGATTTAAAAATCATAAAATAAGTCTGCTCTACAAATTTATTGACTTTTGGCATTTGGTATAACCTAGCTAATTCAGGAAAATCGGATATCGCAATTTTTCGATTTTTTTTGGACATTGATCAGCAACAGATTAAATCAATTTATTGCGCTCTAAGCAACTAAGCAATGAACCCGTCCCTGTATTGGATATCTGATAATTATCAAAAAGATAAAATAGATTAAAAAAATGATCTCGTTTCAAGTAAACGTGGAGCAAGTCAAAATACACCTAATATATGCTAACTCCGCCCTTTGATTATTGAGAAAAAAAAACTTTTTTACAGTCGAAGCATAGATACTGTATTTCGTAATTGCATGCTCCTCCGAAGGATAACAAAGGATAACCTATTACCTAATACTAATACCAAATTGTGTGTTTTACTATACAAACGAAATAAAGTATTCTGAAATCCCAGGGTTTAAATTTTTGGCTGGCAATTTTTTTTAATCTAGATCTCAATCCTCATAACTAGAAACCTACAAGGCCTCGCCTTATTTTCTTGCAAAAGTCAATAATTATTCATTAACATAGAATAGAAATGGCGAGCAGCAGGTATGATTGAGCTCTCTTTATTCCTCATTCCCTCTTTTCAATAACATTCTCTTCATATTCTTTTTTTCGTGATATTCCAATTATAGAACTTCATTCTACCCTACAGTGGTGATTTTTATCATTATTTCGTGTATCTTGTGTCAATTTGTCGCCAGCATTCCCGTATTACCAAGAATCGCCTTACAGTCTCACGATAATGAGGTTACAATCAAAATTTCCACAGGCCATCATATTTGCGGAAAGGTTTCCTCTGACGCCTATAAGGCAGATAAATCCCTCACATATAATACATATAAAGTCCATGATGCTACAACCGAATCTAATACCTTGTATGATCAATTATCTAATATTTCCTCTAATATCCGCAATTATTTAGCTGAGCATCATGTTGCCATCATTATTGGAGCAATCATAATAGCCGTACTAGCCGTACTTATGATTTTTCCACCTCTTATTACCGGTCTCATACGTTGTATAGGATTCGGCGTTGGAGGAATAGTTAAAGGAAGTTGTGCCGCCATGATTATGGCCAGTCGTTCTGGAAAAGTTGCTGTTAATAGTGCTTGTGCTGTATTGCAAAGCGCTGGCGAATTAGGAGTAAAGGGATTTGGGGGATTAATTAAGCTATTTCTCAGACTGATTAAGTGTTGTTAGGGCAAGTTTTATTGTAATAATAGAAACGAAAATAATTTGAGATCAAATAATGGTAATAGGAGATGCTATTGTATTATATGAATTAAAGTTAGATGCCACTAAATTTTTTAATTCTTTAATATCTAATTTTTATTGAAATCAGCTGATCAATGATAATTTTGTTTAAAAAAAATTTTTAATTAGTATCATGAAATTTATTTTTATTTTTATAGTAAATATATTTTACAAATCTTTATAATAAAATCAATTTTTTTATTATTGCCAAATTTTTATTACTATTTAATTTTATTTTTTTTTATCAGTTAATTTTTTAAATTTAATTTTTTTTTTTTTATAAAAAAAATTTACATGGAATTACATAAAATTATAGTAATCTATTTATAAAATAAATATATTTAATCTGAATTGCAAATTAAGACTAATACTTACAAAATAAGATAAAAAACTGAAATCTAAAAATAAAATTATAAATTATAAAAACTATAGTAAAAATTAATAATTCTTATAATAAGATCATATATTGACTTTTAAAAATAAAATGACAATATTATTGTCAAAATCCTAAGGTAATGTTAATGACTTATAGACTTATAAATTACAATAATTATAGAAATAATTAATTAGAAATATTAAATCTTATGTTAAATATGTAAATACGATGTACTTAATAAAGAGATATTTTCTTAATATATATTACCGGTCCACGAAGTGAAAAAATGTATACATGAAATCACGTGGATTTCCTATTAAGATTTACTATACGACACGAACTTAATATTAACCGCGAACTTAAATGAGCTACATAAAATAAAATGTCAATTTAGCAATGAGCCAAGTATATTACTTAAACTAGCTTCTAGAAACATTTACCTGGCATTAATAGCGATTGAGTACAAATAAATAATTTAAGTATATATTACTATTCTAATTAATTTTCCAAATATTCAGTTTCAAAATATACTGTAAATACTGTAAATATCTTCTCAGCAAAATATTACTAATTAGCAAATATACACATGGATAAGTCGAGTGAAATTAGTTGAAATTTATGGAAAATCTTATTTTTATAAGCTCCGAGCCATTTGGTACTGTATTCTCTGTAGTCATCCTTCTCCAGCAATATTGGCCACATTACAGCATACTTGTACTCACTCTTCTAGCACGTTGCCTCTTCATGAGCATTCCTTCGAATTATTTGTCTTCTTGTGTTCATTCTTTTCATTCTTTTATTCACTTATCCCTTTGATGTTTTGAAATCTTTTGTGAATGTCCACAAAAAGGATATAATTGTATTGTCAAAAAATTTAAATGTAAAAAAAGACAAAAAAAAGTTAATGCTCCTACCATTCGAATTTTTTTTGAATACCGACTAAAATAGTTATGACTTAGACATATGATGAAAAATGTGATTCAGAAATGATTTGTTAATCACTATGGGTCCAATTATTAAACCCATGAAGAACATATATATTATGAAAAATACTAATCCGTAAATCCAAACATTACATTTTTGTTCTCGTAAAGATATTGGTGCACTAACTTTTTTGTTCGGTTTTGACCAAAATAATATAATGAAATGTAAAGTGTCAATCCGTGGGATTAGACATATTGGTGCTAGCATAAATAATAGTATATGTCCTAATACAAAGTCATTTGCAAAAAGAGACATTTCAATTATTTTGTCACGAAATGGTTGTGTTATAGACAAGAATCCAAGTTTCTTTCCGTAAAAATTGGTAATCACTTTAAATACAAATCTTTGTACCGCTGATATGACAATTACGCTTAAAATAGCATTTACTGGTTTCCCTGATTCTATAATCCATAAGTATTCAATAGTACTAACTAGATTAATAATTGCAAAAGTATGCGCTATGGTGTTAATTAGTACTCCAAATTTGTCAATCCATCTTTTAAAAATAGATTTCAAACAGAATAAAACAAGATAAAGTCCGAACAATGCAATCGTATTCATTAATATAGGCCCAATTGCGATAGTAGTCACATAAATTACAACACTTAGTCCCGTATTTGGTAATCCTGAAGTTGCTGGATCAAAACTCTTTACGAAAATGAGAACAATAATGAAAATAGCTGCCATTATAAAAGATGAGATTATTTCTCCAAAAATAGCAGTAGTAAAACTTGGATGTGAAGCATCTTCAACCAATTTTCCAGAATGATACCCTAATTTATGATTAATAATCATTGTCATTGAAGCACGACAATGATCAATCCAAGAATTAGCATGCGTGCCTGATTCTGAATACATCCATATCAAGAATTCACGGTAATCACTTATAAATTCCACGAAAGAAAATTGATGTGGATTGAATAAGAATGGTGAAACACACAGAGCTATAATTAAAAACCAAAAGTATATAAAATATGATATCCACATGGTTAAGGAAACAAAGAGCAAAATTAATAGAATCCTCATTCCAAAGAAAATACTTGGCCCAGAGAAACGTGAATATAATGTAGAAAATGGAATACGTGTTGTAGGAAATCCACGTCCAGAAAATATATATTTTGCACCTCCGAATTTAAGATTTGTCATAATACTATTAGCATATATTTGAGTATTAAATACTTCAAAGAAGGGTGATAATGACATAAGATGTTTGCCAAATCGTATAGCACTACGAACTAAGCCATTTTCTTCAAGTTCTTGTGAGAATAATGGCAAAAAATCAATGAATGATGCAACAATAATTAAAATTATGGAACACTTAATCCAGTTAATTACAGGTATAAAATTAGAACATTCACTATGTGAGTTGTTGCAAACAGGAAGAACAGCTCTTATTGCACCAATGAACATTATGCTAAGCATGAGAAGGTGAACTGATAATATAATAAAAACATGATTAAAATGAAAACCAGGATGAGCATAAAAAAAAGTTAAGAACCTGTCTAAAGAAAGTTGTGTTCCAAGGTAATAGTACTCTCTCGATAAATTTTGTTCTCCCATACCAGTACTGGTTTTTGTTGTAAAATGAAGAATCGAATCAAGGCCAATATCGCGACCTTTACTACATTGAATATATTCGCAATGCTTTATACGACCACCACGGCTAAATGAGTTTATACCAGCGAAAATATCCTCGCTAAGGTGTAGACCTTTCATAGCTTTTGATATTCCACCACGCGTTGTCATGAAGATGGCGTTTAAAAAATCTGTATGCCCATAATGTAATCTTCCACCTACTTTAGCAGTGAACCGTTGAGTTAACGTACTAAAAGCTTGCCCTTTTCCAGCAGTTAAATCTCCAAGAGCACCATAATTTTTGGAAAATATATATTCACAAGTTCCAACAATAGCAACGGGATGTTTTTTTGACGATTCACTAACAGAAGAATAAGGCGATATTGTAACTTTTATATCATCAGTTCTGGGCTTAGTATCTGATGATTTCTCTTCGCTTTTTGGGATTAGCTCTTCGGGTATATTATACTGGTCGAATTCGCCAAGAATATTCTTTATTTTGAGGCATTCCTCAAAGTAATTATCTTGATTGGCATCAATTAATTGAATGTATTCACCACGGCAAAAAATAATTGCGTGGTTTTGATTATCCGATTTACCATCTCCAAGAAACGGATTTCCAGGGAGCTGGATTCGATAAATTGGTTTGCGTTTTCCATCCGGTAATATTTCACAGTGACCATCAATTAAAACGGAAAAAAATTTTGGTTCAATTTCCTTATTTTCCCATGGTACTTGATCAAGATAAGCAATTTGAAGATCTGGATAAGAACGTAATAAAAAATCCACATTCTTTTGCTCCTCTTCGTCAAATTCGTTATATCTCTGCATAGAGACTAAAAATTTGAATTTACGACGAGCTACTGAGGCCATCTCATTCTCAAGTTTCTCCGGATCGTTTGTACACGAAGCAACAATTTCGGGATTTTCTATGCGATACAAAAGCTTTATTGCTTTTTGATAATTCATGAATCCGGAAATAGTACGAAATAAAGTTTGTGCACGGCGTGAAACCCATTTACGTTTACGTAAATTTTCATCTTCTTTAGTAAGGTTGTCTTCTTTTAAATAATCTTGTATACGAATTGAATCCCATATATCTATAGTATCATTTTTTTCATAATTTTCCCATTCAGTTGAATGTAATTGTTTTAAGTATTCAAACCAATTAATTCGTGAATTTTGATCCATTTCACAAATTTCACGAAGCGAAAGGAGAATCTTTTCTGAATAATGAGGAGTAAAAACTGTAAATGTCGGCATTTTTTGAATTGGCAAAGGATCTTGAATATTATTCGACAAACTCTTTGCAAAAAATGTAATACGACGTTCAACTTCACTCATTGGTTGATAATATTGTTCATCATTATGATTTACAAAAATGGGTGGAGAATTCCATGAATCTCTATCATTCCCCTTAAAAATGTTACTATGAACGTTAATAAAACATTGAATTTTTCAAATAAATCTTAAAAACTAATTATTATTTATATATATATATATATAAAATACGAACCTGTAGATAAAGTAAGCTCTCAAAATTCTTAATCGATAATTGATGTTCATTATACATGGAAGTAATAATGGAATTCCAAATTGGTGACACGTAACTAACTTCCATATTGTTTAAGCCCAAAATTTTTGTACAAATATGTTTTGGTAACATAGTAAAGTTATCTTTTTGAGAAGTCCGAATAGGTCTCCCAAGTGTGCAAATAGCTATCGAAAAAATTACATTCCAAATTACATACCAGAGATATGTACTCGAAAATAAAAGAATAAGGTAACAAGAGAACATAGTAACGATGGCTAATACTAAGATTAAAGAATAAAGTGTACTATCAATCACTTTCATTTTAAGCATAGATTCAAAAAAATCTACGAATAGATAAGACAGGAAATATGACACTACCAATTTACATCCAAAAACGCAGAACCAAAATCCAATTGAAACTGCACGATCCTTATTGCTAAGATGAGCATAATTGGCAGTAAAAGCATGAAGTGCTTCACTTTTTCTAAAGATATGAGATTTCGGAATTATGGCAAACATAAACGTCGTAATTAATGATATTACAAAGTGAACCATACCTACTATTAAAGATATTGAAGATGTAGGGTCTTTCATTATTATATAAATTGGAACAAAGTTTATAATAAATACGATTATTATTAATATTAGCAGTTGAATTAATATTAAATTAATTCTTAATGGATCGAAAAATAGTTCGCAGATACTTCCAATTATCATTAAAAAAGTAGAAATCGCACCCCCGATTGCAACAATAGACCATTGTACTGCTGGTTCAAGCTTATGTTTATTAAGAGATAGAATAATATAGGTCATAAAATACCAAAAGATGGTAAACTCGATAATCCATATACGCGTAAAATTAACTACTAAATGAAGCCACGTACGTTTTTCTTTGTACGTTTTAATAAATACAAGATCCCATTTTACGTGTCTAAGCTTTAAATAACGTTTACTGTGATGTACATCCATAATATTTTTAATTGGCGAGTCACTCTTTTTCTGAAAAACTATACTATTAATAGTTTCCCGATACCAAAAAAGTTGATTGATATCGTCATATCCTATTGTTTCAGCATGATCTTTTGGCTTATCTTCGTAGCATTGATCTTTAATGTAACGGTAAATCGGTGTTATAATATTGTCAAGATAATCTCTTTCAAGTAATTGTACTTGAGAACTTTTAGAACTCTTATCATAATCATAAGCTAATTTGAAAATAAAGCATAAACATTCGCTCATAAATCGAACTGAAGAAGCTTCACCCCATAATAATAACCATAAGGCCAATTGACGAACCATTTCCTCTGGATATTTTGATATGGAATCCATTCGTTTATTCCATTGTTCATTGTCTTGTAGGTCATTCTCTGAATCAACATTACCTCCAAAACCCAAAGCAAAACACCATTTACGATAATTAGCATCAATTCCTCCAATATAATCAACATGGAGGGTAAGTAAAGCCTGATATGGATTCGTTCTTGAAGCACGAGAGTCCAACATGCACATTAAATAATCAAACATGTTTCGACTATTATCTTCTTGGAAGCCAAATTTATTTTTAAGAGTATTAAAAATTTCTTGTATATCTAGTCGGTTGAAATTAAAGTTTGTTAAATACAGACTAGTTGAATCATTAAGTCTTGTATATTGGTCGTTAGTTTGAGAGTCTTGCGAACTATGATCGCAATTATGAATCTGTTGTGACGTTTGTTGTGCGGGAGGAATGTCACTATTATTAACATTATTAAGTTGGCTATAAGCCATATTTCAAGAATAAATTTTATAATCTATTCATTTATTTTCATCCAAGGAAACAAAATGAACAGAATTCTAATAAATGTAAGAAGTTTCTTCGCGAGCAATACGATTGGCTAAGCCAATGGAAACATAGCCAATCAAATTATTTGAAAAATCATGATGGGATGTGAGGATATATTGAATAAAATGGCAAGAAACAAGGTGATTATTTGTTTATTTCAGAACATTTAGGTACAAGTTTTAGAACCCATCTGAATTTGGATTCAGAAGATGCTTAATCAGGAAAAAAGAAAACAGTTTAACTATTTTAGAAATGATCTGAATTTTTTTAGCAAACCGAACACCTATTATACAGTCTATTATAGGTTTGTTGAAACACTAAAAGGTTTGTTGATTGCCGATCGTATTAAAATAGAAAAGGTAATGAAAAGTGACAATGCTAAATATGGCAGTTAGGGACCTAAAAAGGAAATTGATCAAAACAAAACTTATGTAATAATTTTTAGCACTTATGAATGAAGCTTTAAAAATTAGCGAAGAGGAGAATGGGGAGGTCACCTATATTGCAAACCAATTACGGTAAATGTCTCAAGCCGGACATCATTTCATCTATGACAGTATTTACTGATAAAGCTTTAGCAATAGAAGTTAAAGATAAATATGTTTTTCTTAGAAATTTGAATGGGACGGAGACGGGGGTTAACAAGGTTTGCTTAGAATGAATTTATATATAAACTTATACAATTATTAAACTCATAATGATGCATATAATGTAAAATTTGATCCTGAATTCAAATTATGAATGAGATACAAATTTATAAACATATAAATAACGTTAAGATTTCATAACGTTCATAACGGCACGGCCGCTACAACCATAGCATTTATATAATGATTTTTTTTTTTTTTTGTTAGGGATAAGGATTTTGGGGGTAATTGTATGGACCTAAACAAAATTTGGAATGAGTTTGGCCCATATAAATTTTGTACATATAAATTAATGTTATTCTATAAAAATTATCAATAAGAATAAATAAGAATGGATTTATTATTATGAGAATATATGATTTCTAGTATTATTGCATAAGGAATTTTTTTATCTAAAACAATAAAAATAAAACAATTGAACTTTTTGTATAAATAAAAATTTGTCATGATGACCGGGCAAACAATTAATATTATTGTAACAAATCTCTACTATTCTAAGAAACAATAATAAAATTCATAGAAAATGATCAGCAATTATTATACTGAGAATTCTATGTCTCAATTTTCATATGAACATTCTGCGACCCTTAATTGGTATATCACATGTCAATTCTTTATAACAGATTACTAAACAAACTGAGAACATAGAGAGGAAATTATTACATTATTATAGTACGTATCTTACGAAAATATGTTAATTCTTGTAACACAAATCGAGCTTTAATTCCTTCGTTATTTTAACAACTATTTTATTAACAAAAACTTGGTTTTTTTTTATAACCCAATTATTAGTGATTTCACGAGGAACTGTGGATATCAATGATTTTCACGGCGCAACTGACGGAGTGGCGGTATCCGTACCATAAAGCCCTTTAATATTCTTATTTTGACTAATAATGATAGGACTTTTTATTTCACCCGTGAGAATATCAAGGAATAATTATATATAATTATTATGTAATTATTGTTATATAAAATATAATTTAATTACGTAATCGATTCTTTACTGGGTTCCATTTCTTTATTTATCTAATAAATAGAAGCAACTTTTTAAATAAATATACTCATTATCCATAATAAACGGTTGCTGAGAAATATGTCCGGTTTCCTGCTATCCAATTAATTTCATCTAGTATATTCAGACTGATAATATCACGTGATTATTATTCTGTAAAGTGATTGGCCGACACCCGTTTATTTTATCTTAGCGGATTACTAATACTATGTAAAATATATATGAAAAGTGACTTAATCCACCTTTGAGGAAATCAAATATATGTATGCACACACCTTTATCCTTTTAATATATAGAGAATTTTGTAAAAAATTACGATAGTTATATAACTTAGCAAATGTATATTTCAGTTTTGATAAATACACACAAGTCATATATATTTATTTTATAATAATATACGTACATTCCACTGACAGGTTTAATATTATCCATAATATTTTCCTTTATGATAAGTTTATAATGAATAACTTCCGTTCACCACTAATCCCTCAAACCCTTTCACTTCTAATACACCAACTCTCTGCAATATAGCACAAGCACTACCAACAGCGACTTTTCCATGGTCACTAAGTGCCTGTCTAACAATAAATAACTCGAAGCCTCACCATTCCTTTATATTGAACATATGCGTCTGGTAACAAGGAGTAGCAAAAATTATAATAAGACTATTACGTACTCCAATTCAATAGTGAGTGAACTTTTTTATTATATCATCATAGGCGTTAGTTATTGAATTAATATTAATATATTTTAAATGCGGGAATTTACATATATAATATATGGAGATTTGTCTAGTAATTTCGTGGGTATCAATAACTTCGTTAGGATGGATTCTAGAATTGGAGAATATGGGTATGACTGCGGGTACTTTACTAATAGAGAATTTTGTCAATTTTGTACCATTTCTTTATAATGATGTGATAATTTAAGGATGTTACTATGCTTGAGTACTTTGTACATACAATAAAAACAAAGTATTGTGTTGTATTCGTTCTGTTGGAATATTTTAGGCTATGAGTTATTCTTTGGAGAAACCTCATACATAGTACAGTAACTATATATATAAGAATTTAATCATACACATATTATCAAGGTGCACAAAAGTGCACATTGCACTATGATCATTTTTATGACTGTTTACCAAAAATAAAAGAGGTTAATGTAAGTTCGGTTAAGTAGTCTAGTTTCCTGTAGTCCTTTCATTTTTTTTTATAGCACAATTTAATATTAATTTTCTTAACCTTTAATCTAACCTTATTTGGCTATCAATCGAATTCTTGTGTTTTCAAACCTTAATAACTATTATTATTAGTTTAGCAAAAATTTTTTATTTATCATGCCTGAAGATTTTTGTGATTTCAGAGAATAATAACAACCATAGAAAACTCAATACTGTTAATAGTGAGTATATTCAATAAAAGCCGATATTTCAACATGAAATACAGTTAACACTGGTGTTGAACCATTTTGTTCAGCGAACATTCTTGAATAGTTTATCATTGGACGAAATCACCTGTATTAATATAAAAAACAAATCTTTTTTTTCAGAACGCCCTTGTCACCAACAACTTACGTATGTCAACCAATAGATGGCAATATATACTTCATGAAAAGGAACAATACACGCTCACACAAAGTCACAAACGACAATATTCATAAGACCATGGATACATGGATTTACAGTATATGTTCGTACTCTATAAACATATCAAAAAATGTACTGTATACTCCTAACCAGTGTTGAGAAGTTTGTCCAAACTTTGTCAAATCCTAAAAATCCGTCCAAACCCAACACTGGGCCCCTAACCTATCAAACTCAATATTTTATGGTCCTTTCAATAACAAAAAAAAGTATAAATTCCTATATTTCAACCAATAAAAAACTTTTTATCTTATTCCCATATGTCTTACAATACATATGTTAAACAAACCTTTTGCTCACTTCTTATATCACGATTCAGATTTTAATTCGAATCAGAGAAATCAGATTTAAATCAGAAGTTATCTCCATACCTCCTAAATTATAATTCATTCTTTGTAAAATATTGTTCTACAAGGATTTCATTATAACAAAATTCAGCCACATTTTTTTAGTTATTTCTTCGTATGAAGTCTTTAGATTCCTTAAATAAATTTACTTATTGTAGCAACTTTTCAATCCAGAGAAAAATTTCTTTATTGTTTTGTTAATAATGTATTTTATTTGATTTTTAACCTTTTTTTTACTAGATATTTTTCATAATAATTGCAACTTCTGATAGTACTAATTTATTTTATCTTATCCCGATATATTTAACTTTACCATCATCTTTATCATTATGCTGCATCATCGTATTTTATTAACTGGCAGAAATTATGATTTAAATTGTTCCTCTTCTTGATAATGAGGTTTAGATCTGGCCAATCTTGCATAGTGTTAGTGATCGACATGCATAGGACGTACAAAGAGTGTTGATTCACATTAAATTTTATTTTTATTTACTTGTTTACTTGAAACGTTGTTAGACCAAACAGAGAAAAGAAAAAGAAATAAATAATTGGATTAACAGTCTAATGTTAAAGTGATATTTTCAGATAAAAATCCTCCAAAAGACTTTTTACATTCGGTTTGGTAACGAATAATTTTTGAAATAACAGAATCTTTAGCTGAGCTATTTAGTACTTGCATTGTAGGGATTTTTTTTCAAATTGTAAAGAACAATATCAAGATTATATCTATTTTCTGGCTACCCGTTTATTGGATGGGAAAACCCCAATATTGTTTTGGTGCAGATTATTACTTTTAGCGGTCGGATTATACTAATCTCTGTGTGATGAAAATCTCTTACCAAATTGGTTAATTCAATAAATTCAACATTCTTTTTTTTCTCATTGGGTTTATCTTTTCTTTCGGAAACATATATATATTATTCTTGAAAGGTGTAAATTATGTTCAATATTCGTAAAGAAGTCGTTAATTCAACATATAATAGAGCATACTCATTAATTATTTATGATGATATTCATTCTTGACGATGAATCACTTACAAAAGATGAAAAAACAGAGTAATAAAAAGATTTGATGGTGATTATGACTATTTTAAAGTAGTAGAAATGACGGAATAAGAAGAAATTGTCAAAAGAATGTTTGCAACCTTATATTGTGAATTTTGTGTTCGAGAGTATTTGGAATCAAAATTTTCAAATTGAACATCAGGAAATGATACTATTGATGTGTTAATACAGAACTGTCAAAGAATCACTTATTCCATACATGATTATTGAATGGATCCCATACGAAAATTTACAAAATTTTAAATATTTGATCCAAGGTGGTCTCTCTAAGATTTATTCCGCGGATTGGATTGATGGACATTATAAAGAATGGGACCATGAGGAAAGTTCCGTCCATAGAGACTTGCACTCTGGAAATATATTATATTCAAAGAAAAAAATGATTGGTATATCAGTGATCTTGGTTTTTGTGGACCTGCTGATAAACCTCTAAAATGTATATATGGAAATCTCTCTTTTTTGCACCCGAAGTTATTTCTAAGAATAAATATTCTTATGCATATGATATTTATTGCGTCGCGGTGCTTATGTGGAAATTTCATCTGAGCAACCACCATGTGTTAATTTCAAACATAATTATGAATAAATATCATTAACGGCATGAGACCAAAGATTCGTACATTCTGGAAAAAGAGCTTAGCAAATCATTCTATCAAGATAATGAATATATCACTTACAACATAGATTCTAGTACCATAAGTCCATCAATTGAAATTGATCATAGCAAAATTTATAATTTAGAAGATTTACCTGAAAGAAAAATGCCATAGAAAGTAAGATATATAAAATAATATTTATCATTATCATTAATTCTATGATTTTATTGATTATTAAACAAATTTTTTAATTTTATACAGAAGAACAAGAAGGTAATAATTATCAAGTATATATAAATATTATAGTTCTAAGTATTCCAGATAGTAAGTATAATGAATTAAAAAATTTGTATATGTAAGTTTTTTTGTTTTTTTTAAAAAAAATAATTTTCTTTCATCTCTTTTAGATATTTAAATTGTATTTTTCAAGAAGAGCAATACTTAAATAATTCACTACTTATTGATAAATTATGAACGGTAATGTAACTATCCTATAAACGAAAAAAAAAGCATTCCACAAGCCTCGTTCTCTGATCGGACTTTGAATGTCACATTTTATCACTAATTACTTCATGAGGGACAAATTTATCCTGAACCGGGGGTCCAGGTTCTTTATCCTAAACCCCCTATATAAATAAGTTTTTCCAGAGTAATCGTCACGTGATCAATACAGTTGCGGTCTAGGATAAGAACGGTCTATTTGGACGCTCCTTCAATGAGTAATTATCACGTTATCTAAAATTCGGTTTAAATATAGAATTTTATAGACGTCATTCGTATAATTCGAGGCACGCAAGTTTTGTGGGCGCGGTTTGTGTCGATCTTCGCCATATAAGGAACAAGTGACATTTAAGTGTCACCTGATCACGTGCAGCCACGAGTTCAAAAACATTAAGTATCTGAGGGACTTAATTTTTTTTTAGTGTCAAAAATTTATTTGTCACCCCTGTGACACAAAAACCGCGCCCACAAAACCGGGGTGCTAATTCGAGTTCGTGTAACATTCACCTTATTACATCTGCATCAGCCAAGCGATCTAAGGCTCCGAGTTTTTAGTTTTAGCAATTTTGATTTTTTTTTGTCACTGGTGGTCTTTTTTTACCGTTATAATAAATTTAATGACGTCTACGCCGCGAACACAAGACTTACCGAGGCCCGGTGGTTTCCCAGCTGTTCAATATAAGCGCAATATACCAAGAAGGGGTCCTTCTGGATTAGTCCTTTTTACAAGTATAACGGCCATATCTGCATTGGGTTTCTATTGGATGACACAGACGATTTTAGAGTCCCGGTAAGTTATTAATTAATTATATTTAATAATCCTATAATTCCTTATTTTCTAAATTTTTTTATTTAATATGTTTTTATTAGTGAATTAAAACGTGAAAAAAGTTGGTCGCGTATACATCTTATTCCTATGTTGCAAGCAGAATTTGATCGTGATACATATCGTCGCTCTCAAGCTTCTTTAAAGCGTGAAGCTGAAATTATGAAAGATGTTCCAGATTGGAAAGTGGGCGAAAGTGTATATAATTCGAAGCGTTATGTACCCCCATCTGTATTTATTTTGCCGGAAAAATAATTGATTGATTATTTTAATTCTATTAAATACAACGCTCTTTTTGTTGAAATGAATTATCTGGTTGTTTTTTGTTTATTAAGTGTTATATACCATAAAACAGAAACAAAGCAAAACATTTTTTTCGGTGTGAATATCATTTTCTAGACGATAAAAATTTTTTTTTTTAAAAAAAAAGGCTCCGTAATAATACGATACAACTAATACAAAACATTTGTATAATTTTTTGCTAAGTTATTTCGAAGAAAAAAACCATATCCCAATTTCATAACTATTAAAAATTACGTGTAATTTCCTTCACTAAACCATTAATGGCCTGAGAAGATTTAAATCTTGGTAGTTCTTTAATCTTCTCAAGTAGAAGTAAAAAATTTTTTGCATTCCATAATTTCTTACGCTATATTAAAATCGGGGTCAAATTTAATTAATAAATTGATTTTACTTATAATAATAATAATAATAATTTACAAAACATTACCTCTTCTATCGGTATTTTAACACTAGTCCTTTTAATTGCAAAACTAGCGAATTTCAGAATCGATTTTAATGTTTGAGAATCAAAGGTTTGGTCGCCACATTTTAAGTCTCCAGCAACAAATTGAAGAGTATTGTTTAAAGCTTCCCTTATTTTTGGCACTAATTTAGATATTGTGCTGTCAACACTTTCGGATTCCTATAAACAAGATACATGTCAATAAATACCGAAATTTCAATCTGAATAAAAATAATTCATATTTACCCGACTTTTCTTTGGTAGCGCAATATTTAAAATAGAATATGACACATCATAAGCATTCATAACCTTGTTGGGATTCTTTGCTATCTTTGGATCAGCACATCCAAGGAATATTTCAGATAAATGCCATGGTATTTGAGGAATATGATTAGGCAACTGTGAAAAACACTTTATATTCAAAGAATTCGATTTAACACACCAGCTCTTGTATGTTGATTCATAAATAGCAATGGCCTTTTTAATATGTTGTTGATTCATGACCTCCCCTGGAATGTTCTCATATTTATAACGTCGAACCATAGATTTAAGCAGGAACGCACTAGAATTCCAACACAATTTCATCATGTCACCAAAGCTTGATTTACGAGCCATATCCTGAACTTTTTCTAATAAAGTAAGCACTTTATTTTCATCGAATTCGGTGGGACCATCCTTTATTACAATAATTTTAGTACTTAGATCAAATGCGCTCTTGGAAATTTCATCAGTTTTTGCATTCTTTGATATCTCAAGCAAAGGAACGATTAACTCAAAAATAAGTGGATTATGTGGTTGTTCCTTAACAAAAATTTTCAACAATCCAATGACTTTGTGTTTATAATGAATTCTTTGGTATTTAGCATCTATGATGTAAAAATAGTTAGCTAAAAAAAACATCGAATCTAAAATTGATGAAATATAATTACCTTTCCTTTTTTTCTTCTCGAATTTCTTTTGTTTGAAAAACTCGGATAATTTAGAATCAAATTCCTCCATAATTTTATCTTGGTTACTTTGATCCTCATCACTATCTTCATTTTCATGCTGTTTATCCTGTTGGCCAATTTCTATCACAGATTGATCCTTTACTTCTCTTTTCTCATTATCAGTTTCTTCATTATCTGAATCGTGCTCAATGGATTCGTCAGAAGAATCATCATTATTTTCCTCATCTATATCCATCTCATCTACTAATTCTTCAACATTCCCTTTTTTACTTATAAGCTATATGTGCGAAAACGATATATTTTAATAAATATTGCTTATAGAAAATCTTCATTTTAATAAATACATACATCCAACATTAAATCCAAAGAAGATTTCGTAATGCCGCCGCAAAAAACTTTGAAAGCTTGTTCTGTCATGTTGTGTAAAAATGCAGACGGTTTTGCAAGAAAACTAAGCAAAACATCTACAATTACGTCAATAGGATCATGATTTTCTTCGGCGTTTTCTTCAGTCTTTTCAGTCTTTTTCTTCTTAAGTGATCTTTTCGATTGTACAAACATTTTGTTAAAACATACTTGCAAATCCTATAATACAAGCATAGGAAAACAAATTAGAATTATAACCTTAAATAACGCTAAACCCTGATCAATTAATTTAATATTATAACCTCCAATGCATTCATTGCTTCTTCCGGTTCTATATATAATGTGAGAATAGCATAAGAAAATAACCAATGAAAACCTTCCAGTTGGATGTAAAGGTTAGATTTTTGAGATCCTTCGTTCTTTGATCCTTCTAACTAAAAATTTGATAAGTTTATTAGAACCAATGTAATTATCTTAATAATACAAATAAATTTTACCTTTTTTGTAATTTTTTGTAGCAATTCAACTGCTGCTTTCTTTAGGCGTAGTGCTTCTTCACTTAAAACAATTAAAGGCTCAAGTTGACTGTCATTCTCAAATTTATTCATCAAAGTTACAGCGTAGAAAGCCCACGATTGATCATCGCTCATAAAACCACCACGAGTACGTACAGGTTTTTCCGTTTTATCTAAATAAATTTATTAATAAACGCATAACAAAATTAACTTATTAATAAACACCACTCACCACTTTGTAAAGAGCGGAAAGTGCTCAATTCACCAAGAGCATGAAAGAACCTTGCCCGACAACATTCTTGAGTATTTTCACTAATTATTGCTTTAGGTAATATATTTTCTGTGATTTTTTCTTGGGAATTATCCGTGTTTGAGTTATTCTCGGCGTTTTGTTGATCTTCAAACCTTACCCTTTTCGAATCACGTTTTTTTAATTTTTTATTTTGAGAGCTAATTTCAACCTAAAAAAAAAATGAACATGAATTTCCTAAACATGATAATTTGTTATATGTGAATTCATACCTTATTATTTTTCGGTTTATCATTTATAAATGTATCTTTTGCTATATAAAATCCATAAATAAGAAATAATTCTAAAACCAAACACAACCAGCCTTCTTGGCGATTGATTCGAGAATCTTTTAGAAGTGAATATAAATAATTTATGATCCATTGTCGCTGTTGTTCTGTCGTATCACTATCACTATAAATAAACGAAATCAGTCGTATTAAATAAACAAACGAATTAATGTTACAAAAATTTTAATTACCCCGATAAATTTTCACTAGGCTGTATAAAAATACTTTTCAGGTATAGAATACACTCCTCAATTGTTTGATTGTTGACAACACTAAGTATTCTCTTGACTATATTAGCACTAGTTTTATCAAAGTCTTGATCATAATATTGACCCAAAAATTGTTTAACTATAACCAAGGCTTTCTGATGATTTTCGTCACTGACTTGTTCAATAACCTTCAGCTGTTAAACATTAAATAATAAAATAATTAATCAATCATGATAAAAATATATAAATATGTACTCAATTCAATTTACCGAACGTATTGCAGCTTCATGCAAATAACGGTTTTTCTCATAAGAGTTATTTATCAAGGTCCTCATAAAGTTAGGTGTAAATAACGAGGAGGTATTCTTTTCAGGACATAATTTAAGGGCTTTCTCAAATAATTGAAATCCCCAGAATTTACGTTGATGCGTAGTATCGCTATCAAAAAGACATTCTATAATATTATCCAAAAGACAATTATGTGAATAAATCAAAAATAGTCATTATTTTAAAAATTTGGTATAGAAAATTTCTTACCATCCACAACCACCTTCCAAAATTGCTCAAAGGTAACTGTTTGATTTCCAGGTTTATCATTAGAAGGAGAAATAATCCAACAGAGAATTGTATCCCACACAGAATGAATCCGATTCTCTTGGTTCTGTTGAATTTCGGTCGCAGATTTGCTGGACTTTGCCTAATTTTATCAAATAATTAATTAAAATATAGGCGACAGAAATAAATACAAATAATATATCTTTTGTAAAATACTTGAATGGCTTCTGTCAACTTTTCTAAGTTTTTGGGATGGAGTATATGTGGCTTATGCCATTTCGCCGTACGTGAATCAACACCAACATTATGAACCATAACTTGTTTCCACTGGCTGCTTTGTATTATGTCCTATCAGAAGAAACACAATATGAATATGGCAGAGAAAAAAAATTATATCTATTTACGCTTGTATAGATGACACTTCAAATGGTCAATCATTACAAGTCAATCAAAAAAGATATTTACGGCAGTTAAGTTCATCATTCATACCGGGTATTGTGCTTCAATAACTATAGCCAAATTAACATCGTCAGGGTTATTAATACCACCACTTTTATCACTACGTTCTTTCATAACCGTTATAAGGTGAGAAATAGCCTTTTCGTCGAATGAAGTTTTTTTCAACTAAATACGTAATAACTTAATAAATGTTCGTTCTTTTTCCAATCCTTGAATATGAATAAAGAAGATATTTCTTACTGATGGTATGCTTGAAACAATAACTTGATAGCATGTTTCTCTAACGTATGGTTTACAATTTGCACAAGCCAATAAACCATTGATCACTTCACGATAATCTTCATCAGATGAAGTTTCACGCCAAAGAATACCAGATCTCATAACCGATACAAAACTTAAAACGCGTCCAAAAATTTTATCAGATCCTTCCTTTGATTAAAAAAAAAATTAATATTAAGAATTACCATATATAATGGTTTAAAAAGTTCATACTTTATCTTTGGAAGAAGTCATCGGACAGTTTTTGTCAATTAACGGAAGAATCATCTTAAATGTAAAGAACTCAAAACTAGCAAGAAGCTGTAGTGATGAGTTCATCAATTTATTAATATTAATGAATAACCAATTATTTACGAAATTATCACGCGTAGCCTTATCTACCTCCGTTAATGCCAGCGCGAAACCATGTCGAGCGCCTGCTCGAGGACTAGTAATTCCCTTCGTCAATCGAAGCATAGCATAAGCCACATCAGGCCCACCCACTTTTTTAATTATCTCGATGGCTCTACCAATTAATAAATAATATTTATTTGAACAATAATACCAAAAAAATTTTTACTTTGACCGCTAAAAATTTATCAACTGAATAATCACCCCGAAAAATCTCTGATATCCTTAAAATCAGATACTTTTTCGAACTTTGAGAATTGTTGATATGATTTATGTAAATGAATTATTAACTCCTTGGCTGCATTTTGACGTTCTTCAACATCTAATGAGGCTAATTGCCAAAAATAATTTAAAAAAGTAGTATCCATTTTCAAGTTCAATTTTCTTTTTTTTTTGGTAAAAAAAAAATTTTTACTATTTAATATATGATTGGCCCGATTAAAGCAATTTGTGCACGTGACCTTAAATTTTTACAGTTATCAGTTGTGTAACTCGATCTTAAAAAAGAAAACGAGCCTGATTTTAATAATTAGCACTTATATTTTATAATAGCATTGGAAACGAAAAAATTTCAATTGAGCACCAATTCGTTGGACATAGTTACTGCCCTTACATTTATTTTATTCATTTGCTAACAATGCTGCATTTTCTACAAAAGCCTTAATTTCTCCTGGAGATTTCACACCAATAAAATTTTTTATTGATTTACCCTTGTAAAATGCATGCACTGTTGGGAGTGCTGAAACCTAATTGTAGAATAAATCAAATAAGACTCTTATTAGTAGGTCTGAACTAAAGACTATGAACGAACCGCAAAAATAACCTCATATTTTTTTGCAAGTTCCGGGTTATCATCAGTGTTAAGCTTTACGAGGGTAACTTTTTTATTTTCCCCCACAGTTCGTTCAAGAATAGGCGCCAACACCCTGCAAGGTCCACACCAACTTAAAGTCCAATTATAGATAAGAATCAAATAATTTGTCAGTTTAATACGTTATTTACGTTATACGTTAAATAAAACCACAACTACAAACAAAAATTCAAAACTTACTCAGCATAAAAATCAACTATAACGGGCTCTTTTGCTTCTATGACTAATTTATTAAATGTATCTTTATTACAATCCAATACTTGACCAGAACTTCTTATAGCAGATGTATGAAAGAAAACAGGAGAAAATTTTCGAGCTATTTTAATTTATTGGTTCCCATTAATAATTAAAATATTTTTGAATAGGAATTTATAACAAACTTTATAATATTATTAATTACCACAAGAATAAGTAGAACGGATAATCATTTGGTTTGTAAACATTTTTGAATACATTCAAATTTTATCTAAAAGTCAGTTAAACAGGGCGGACATCATTTTATTGCTGACCATTTGTCGATCATTCTCAATTTTATCACTAGTGCCGTTAAATAAGGAAAAACTTAAGGCAATATTTTAATTTACAAGTAAAAACCTGTATTATGAGCGCAAATATTGTATTATTTTCTTTAAACTTTTACCATGCATAATATCTTCTGCCATCAACTTTTAGTGCGATTACTCGATTTTATCACAATAATCACATAATACTAATTTTATTCCGATTGAAAATTCCAAAATTTACTTATAAATTTATTAAATTTATTTTATAAACTTAATTTTATGGTTTTCATAATATAAAAATTTCATCAATAACCCGACAACCGGCTTTTAATTTTTTTCGAAATGTTTTTTTTTCAATTTTTAAAAAATTCTCGCCCGGCATAATAATAATATAAAAAATTTTTTTTTTTAAGACTTAACAAAAACTGACCCGGCTGGGATATGAAAACCATTTTTGCCACTTGTGTCGTCTTTATAACCGAATCCAAGAATTTATTGGATTGATTGTAATACATCAATAATAGGTAAAGTAAACTACATAATCTCCGGAGAGAATCAAGGTTCCATCAAGCAATGCCCGGAGAAAGATTCCCTAGCGCCATTCTCATCCGATCAATTACAGTGTTCTACAATTTCGGCAATTATACACTATTTTTTGGATTTTTCCACACAAGCTACTCTCAATTCTTCTGCTTTGGCTACTAGACGTTGGCGAAATCAATAATGTGCCTTTTTTTTACTATCTTTTAAGTAATCTTTCTTTTTTTCGTTTTGTCAAACTGATACTTCAAAAGGAGAAATAATAATGGCATCAAATTCGCCTTTCTATGAATTTTTTCGCCGCTTTGAAATTGATCGATCTTATTTTGAGATAAGATCATCCATATACATGCATAGAACGAAAAATCCGACTAATACCATGTTCACCAATTTTACCTATACCTTTTGTTGGAGAGTACCATGTTAATGGTGCCCTAACTCCTGGATCAATAGAGACTGCATGAATAGAGCTGTCCGCTTGGGTTTCACGGAGCTGTTTTTGAATCTCATAGATCCATCATTTTTTTTGACGAAAATAAGATTATTATTTTTACGTTTCTTTTCAAAATGCAGAAGATACAAAGCATGTTGGTTACTGTTTAATATTGTGGTAGATTTATGACGATGTGAAGTATATACATCGACGGGGTGTACAGATAGGTGATGTAAAAACGGTCCCATATTGAAGATGAAAAATTTTTGAGCTCGGATGGTAATAGTTTGTCGCAGGTTCGAAATGATAGAGAATTAATAGATTCACCTCGTGCACGTTTAGTATTTCGTTTAATAACCTTACTTCTGGCAATTAATACTTCATCTATTGCTTTATCAATTATATTTGCAGATGCAACATTTAGTGTTCCGCGTAGTAGCATTCCTAAACGAACTACAACTCTCATGAATTTTCAGCTCAGGTGTCATTAAATAAAAAAAGTTTTTGTTGATAAGTCATAGGATTTTCATATATCTTTTTTTAACACTCTCTTCCTTTGTGAAATAACACCTTTTGTTCCATTTTATCACAGAATTATAAGCAAACCTCGCCAATCCCATCCAACGTTTCAACAATTGCTTCTGAGAATGGTTGGTTACGCTTTGACTAGTAATGTACGATTGAGAATTTCTTCCGAGCGTTGTCGTTTGGCGTGCTCTTATTGCACTGACCTTCCTCTTCTTGCTTATTTCGCCTGTTTTGACGCTCTCGTATATGTAGAGCAGCTGCATTCGACAGATGAAGGCAGTGTTGATTGTAAGGATATTTTGGGAAAGTTCGTGCTCATCGGAGGTCGCATCATTGAAGAGAACCACGAATTTTGTAGTATGGTAGGAGAGCACGTACTGGATGAGGTCGAAGACAAACCAGCAGAGTCGGTCACGATGGGTAACCACAATTTCCGAGACCTTGACTGTCCAATAAGGTCTTAAGTAAGTACTGGTCGTTACCCGAGCCGATATTGCTAACAAGTTCAATCGGGTGTTGAGGAGTTGTTTCTGTCGTTCAAGGTTTTCCGAGCATAGAGGAATCCTTTTTGGTGGCGGCGGCGGCAGTGGTTGTGGTGGTGCAGTGGTGGTAGTGGTGTTATAAGCATTTTGGGAAATCAACTCTGGAAAAATGCAAGAAATGTTGTAAAGGTGAGTACCAGAAGGAGACGTTTTAGAATAATTTTTCCTTGCTTTAGTCAACGACGCAAGGTGTCTGCCGAAATTCCAAGTTTCTTAGTTGCTTGGTGTGCATAAAGAGATTTTCGATTTGAATCTTGATTTTTGTATTACTAAGCAGTGAGCACCGGACCGGGTAACGCAAAATTTGTTGGTACAAATTTTTTTTGAAGTCACGTGGAAATAAACTCAAATTCTTCTTGGTTTTTGGTTTTAGATTTTTTTGTATTTGACCATGCGTTTGGTAACTCATAATATGCTTCAATGCCACGTAAAAGGCTGCAATTCAAACAATTTTCCGTTACAACTTTCCGACGTTGAAATCGAAATTCAAGAAACTGACTTTAATCCTAAGTTCTTACGAAACATGCTGTCAAAGTTAGAATGGAATGCTTTAGTAAAAACGGCATTAGAGGTATTTTATTTGTTATTCCCTAACATTTTAAGTTAAAACATTTAACAATTTCCAAAAATGCTATCCAAAAAAGTCGTTTGTCAACGAAATTGTTTTTTATTGATTATATTAATGCAAGTGTCCACTCTTCGTATGAAATAATTTATTCGATATTTTATACTTGGTCTCAAATTGTAAAAAATTTTTTTTAGATTAATATAACCACGCTACCTAATGTTTTACCAAATGACTTGGATGAAGAGTTTCTCAAGATGTTACATAGAGTGCTATTAGAAGTATATTATCTCTTTTGATTTGATTTTTTTTTTAGGATTTATTAAACAAATTAATAATCTAATTTTGGAATTTTTTTTTTCGAAACTACAGACACATATTAAACAGGGACAAATGATTTGTCCTAATTGTAATCATACTTATCCAATAAAAGATGGGATACCAAATATGTTGTTAAGCGAAACTGAAACTTAACTTGTAACTAGAATGATACCAAAAAGGTCTTTTTGTATCAGTTTTTCTTTTCATAGACACTAAATTGTGAAATTAAAAATGTTGGAATCAACAAAAATGATGTTAAAAGATCTAGTCTCAATAAAATTTGTTTAAAAGTGTACCGATTAATACTGATTTCACGTGATTTAACTCCACAAAAAGTATTACTTTCCTCATCCTATTTCTTTAAATGGAGAGTAAAGACACGAAGGAAACTACCTCAGAAGCTACTATTTCGGAAAAAAACTATGATACATGTAACAAGTTAAATGAAATTACCAAAGAAAAGAAAGAGGAACCTCAACAAAATTTATCTAAAAATGCACTAAAAAAACTTCGAAAACAACAAAAATGGGAGGAAACACGTGAAGCACGCAAATTGGCTTTAAAAGAAAAAGACAAGAGGAAAAAAGAAGAAAGGAGGAAGGCTAAGGAATTAGGTTTATGTTAATTTTTAAAGAAACCAATTTATTATTCAGTAAAATTTGCTACTAAAACAGTATTTAATAGGTCTTATACAGTTACCACCAAAAAAAATTAAAGTTGAACAAATTCCTAGTGATATGAAAGTTGTTATTGATTTATCCTTTGATGAATTTATGACCGAAGCGGTAACTCTCTTTTCTCTCTTTTATATTTATTTGACATGATTTTATTTATTTTAGTAGTAACTTAAAAATTTTCTTTATAGGAAATTACATCTTTGTCTTTACAATTATCACGCTGTTATTCAGCCAATCGATCAGCAATGCGTCCTGTGAATTTATATTTTACTTCATATGGAGGTCGCGTCCAGGAACGATTTAATACCAAACTTCAAAATCACATTAATTGGAAAAATGTGGTTTTTGAAACAAGAACTTATTGGGATTGTTTTAACAAAGAAAAGTTAGTTTATTTGACAGCCGACTCGGATGAATATGTACAAGAATTAGATGAAGAAAAAATTTATATAATAGGAGGACTAGTGGATAAAAATCGGCACAAGGTAAAACAATATTTGTTAATTATTTTCTGCGGCTAAAAAATTTTTTTTAAAGCTTATTTGATTGCGTTAGAATATATGTTATAATAAATCTCAAAGAGATGAAATTGCCTCAGCTCAACTACCCATAGGAAATTATATTCAATTGAATACACGAAAAGTTTTAGCCGTAAATCATGGTTAGTAAAATATTTAGGGTTTCATCTATTATTTATTTTAACAATTTTAGCTTATCTTTAGTATTTGAAATACTTGTTCGTTGGTTGGAATGTAAAGATTGGGGAAAATCGTTTTTGGAAGTAATCCCACAACGTAAATTTAACACAATAGAAAGGAAAAAAAGGCAAGAAAACAATGATGTTAATTCTACATCTTTACAATATCCTGAATGTGAAGGTAATGAAAAATCATGTGATGAGTGATTTTGTAATTTTGTTATTAACCTTTGTTATAAAAAGATTAAGTTCGTAAGTTTAATGTTTGTTACTTAATTATTCGATAAATTTACCCGTTTTTTTTTTTGCTATTATTCCGGACAAGTTTCTAAAGGTAACAAAATTTTAGCGATGCGTGGCATCATTCTAGTTATTCGATTTCGTAATAAATCATCTTCAGTCCTTATTTCCTGTTGACATATATAATTTAAGTTAGTAAATATAATTCAAGAATAAAATAATTTAAATAATTATCTAAGGAATAATAACCATGGTATTAATATTAATTTCTGCATAAGAATTGTCAACTTTGATGACAATTTCATTTTCAGAATTTTCTTTGCTAAATGCTTCGCCAAATTGGTTTCTCAAATACATCACAACAGCATCGTGTATTGTTAGTGACTGTGATGATTCTATAGATTCTTCAAGTCCTTTCTCATCAAAATCTATTTTGTTATTATCCATAACGATATCATAATTTCCTTCAGGCATATGATTGGGATGGGATTGATTTGTGACTTTTTTGTTGTAGATTAATAGATTAGCAAATAATTAAACTTTCACTTTCTTGGTTAAAAAATTTGTCTAAATATATCTACTTACCTTTTACTGAGGCAGGGCTGTTTTCAATGTTTAATATTACTGCTATCACAGAATCAGCAATCTTGTCGTTCATAGAAGTACTTGACCATTCTAGTCGAAGTTGGCTCTTACTAATATGCTTTACCTCAATCGAATTTAATATCTATATTCAAATCAAATACAAATAAGCTCAGATCTCGATAAATAATATGAAATTAAATACTAATATACCGTTAAAGTTGGAATTTGTTCGCTATCAAAAGTTTCCTTCAGAGTTCCGAACATTTGCTCAAGGTGATATTTCAATAGTGAAAAAGAAGAATGATATGCAATAGTCGGTTTTTGCATTATTGTTGAAGTAGAGATACCACAAAAATCTTTGAGATCGTTTGCATCCATAATATTAAATTGAAAATCTTTTGATACTATGATGCCAGATACAATTTGATTTTCTATTGGGTACTTTGCAGCTAAGCGACCTATAGCCTATTGAGATGTTAAATAATGGGATAATTAGTATTATAGAAAATTAAGTACATAATTTTTAATACCTTAGCTAATTTTTCCCCTCTAAAATATAACTTTACAGGTTCACAATTTTTTGGTGAATAAATTTTGATTTTATCGTCACGTTCAGCAAACTTGCTCTGTAACGCGGATTTCAACCTAGCCATAGAATTTGTTTCTCCATGCACAAGTACCTATAAAAATTATTATAAAATCAAATATTTTTCTCCTAGTTGCTCTTTTAATTACATACCACGTGAGGAGCTTTTATTTCATCAATGAATTGACTATTCTGAATAAAATCAACATGAGCTGAGAAGGAAACATAATTAACCGACATTCTCAGTGGAATAGTAGCACCAGACATAGAAATTATTTCTGACGGCTCAGTCATAGCATGCTAAAAAAAATATGAATTTAAATTTATTCAATTGGTCGTTTAAATAAAAATATATATAATTACCCGAGCCAAAGTACCCTCAACACAATATCCAGTTATAACAAGGCCATTTCGTTTGTCTGGACACCATCTTTCGAATAACTCTCTTGACAATCCGCTCTATAATATCTATGAATGAGATAAATATTAAAAAAATTTCATTCGATATTTTACATACCTGTAACATACCGGGACTGGCCATCATAACACAAGGTCCGACATCATCAAAATCATCCATATTTTTAAGATTCGAGATATGATTAAAAATAAAAGGATTGTTTATGGCAAATTGTTTGCGAATCTTTTCATTCATCATATTAATATAAGTTTGATAAACTGCTATACATTTCTTTGCTAAAGACGAGGCATAATAAATAGGTACTGATTCTAGTTCAGGATGTGCTTTCCAATACTCATCAAGAATTAGAAGTAATTCTTGGGCACGGCCTAAAGCGAAAACCGGCATCAAACAACGACCACCACGTTGTACGATGTCATGGACCAACCCTTCAAAAAAGAGGAATTAATACTGATCAAATTTTGAATTCATTAATTGATATCTTAATGAATTACCAGTAAATCTTGCTTCTTTTTCTAACCTAGGTTCATGACTCTGAACTCCATATGTGGATTCTGTGATTAACACATCAATTCTCACTGATGGAAGTTCAGCAGCCATTAAATGTCTGTCTTCTTCACGAGAATAATCTCCGGTATATAAAATCTAATTTTAGTAAATTGATAAGTTTTATGGCCAAGGAAATTAATTGTAAGTTTAAAATTATACATGCCTTAACACCTGCGATTTCAATCAGAAACATAGCTGCACCTAAAACATGACCTGCATTATAACTAGTAAATTTTATTCCTTCAAATTCTACTTCCTGATGATAGTCTACAGCTTCAATTTTATCATAACTAAGCAAAAGATCTTGTTCATCATAGAGCATATCATCCAATAATGCAACATTGCTATTAGAGTTCAAAATTAATCCATAAAATACATAAAATACGTAAAAATAATATACCCAATACTAAATTATTTGGGAATTACCTTACTCTTACATAATCAGACAATAACCATTTATAAATCGCCTTTGTAGGATGTGTCATAAATACTCGTCCTTGAAAGGTTGTCTTTCAATGAAAGAATAATGATTTTGTAAAGCTTTTGTTTAAATCAAATAGACGATTTAATAATCATACCTTTTCCAAAAAATATGGCAAAGAAGCAGCATGGTCCAAATGAAAACTAATTATTTTTTAAACAAATCAATTAACAAATGGCAAGTTAACCGTGCTAGAAAGTTTTGTACGAAAAAACATACTGGCTAATAAGTAAAGCATCAACAGTAGCAGGATCAATTTCATCATAAAACGGAAGTGCAGCCAAACCATTATATGCAGGGTGGACACCCGCATCAAGCTATTATTGATGGTGTAAAAATATATCTTTATTTATTTCTTTTAAAATTAATAATACACTATTGATATTACTATTCTTAATTATCTATTTTAGACTATTTAATACCATTATTGTTTTCCCCTTGTATTGAATGACAATACAGGACCTTCCCACTTCGTTACCAGCACCCAACGCCGTAACTTGTAAAACGTCATTTTCGTCGTTTATAGGAATTTCAAAGTTGGTTCGCTGAGTTGTCATTTTTGAAATTTCAAGGACAATTAAAATTGCTAATTATTGGATACGCTATTATTGGATACGCAAGCTGCAAAAAATTAATACAAGTTATAGTGACACTAACTTTGTAGATCACTCTATAGTTTTACTACTAAATTATGGTTAAATTATGGTGATTAAATTTGAAACTTCCCATAAGCAATCATGCCACCTGATCCCTTCGAAAATGAGTTAAACTTAGCAAATGCTCCTGTTCCTCCCAGCGTGAACTCTGTACCTCCCGTAGTTTTTGTTGAAGGGTTCATGGGGTCCGGTAAACAAAAAAATTGGGGTCCGCTTGCCGAAATATTTAAAAATACAGGTATTGATCAAAATTGTAGCAGAAAACTCATTTTTGTGAAGCCCGGCTGTTGTAATTCATTGCATGATAGGGCAATTGAAATATTCTATCAGATCAAGGGCGGAAGAGGTAAATAATCAATTTAATGGTAGAACACTAGATTCGCAAATTCACTAACAAGGGCTTTACTAATAGTTGACTATGGAGAAGAGCATGCAAAAGAATTTGGACACGCTCGTTTTGGTCGCAGATACAAGGGATTTTACCCCCAATGGAGCGCATCAAACCCGGTCCATTTTCTAGCACATTCATTGGTATGCTTGATATTTTTCATTCTATCGAATTGAAAGAACAATTGCACTTAATATAATTGCATTATCAGGGAGGCATTACCATTTGGAAATTACAACAATTACTAGCATGTGACATATTTCCCGCTTCTCTAAATCCACATCCTGACATGATACTTTCTCTAACTGCTGTATCAACACCCTTTAAGGGAACTCAAGGTGTCTATCTTCTCGGTAGCACGATTAATCCAAATAACATTATTCGCCCATTTTCTATAGGTTGTTGGCTTGGTCGATTTGTTCACATTTATGAATACTTTAATATTCAATGGCTAAAAGAACTATTTTATGACTTCAATGTTGATCATTGGAATTTTTATTGGAAAAATGTGTGGGGATGTGCTATAACAGAGAAAGAGCAACAATCAGATAATGACAACCAAAACACGTCTGAAGAAATAAAACAAAGTGTTGCAGGCAAAACCTATGGATTATTGTATTGCTTGTATAAAAGTCCATGGTTGTATAATAAAGATAATGGCCCATTTGATATGACTATACACGGGATGAAAATTGTAAACGAAACGAGTCGAATATTTCCAAACACATTTTATCGCTCTTATGTTACAACTATTGTAAAATCAATTTTCTATTCTATTCTCTTCATTTTATATCTCTATTGATGATATTTCATTCATCTCATTCATCTCTACTTAGACTTGCACGGAAAATTCAATATATCATACCCCAAAGCCCTCATTATCCCTGTATTACCCAATATATTATCTTTCCTACAAAATTGGCCGTTTTCGATTCCCAGAAGCATACAAACAATATCAACCCATTACTGATGAGGAACTACCCGAATGGTATGAAAATGATGGTCTATGTCCCATTATATCTCAATATCATCCCTTTTCATGCTCTCCCGGTTATTGTACCCATCATGATGGTATGCCACTATCTGAAAAATACAAATATCAACATTCATATCAAGTTTCTACAAAATCAAGACCAAATCCCATTCGTGGACAATGGGAAGTGTGGAAGATCGAGGATACAACACATTGGAGTATCATTCCAGTTTGGTACAATGATCCAAAGCAAATGGAATTTTTTGTTGGATATAAAGAATACCTTGACCAATTGGATGCATTACATTTATAGTTCAAAAATATTTTACATAGTGCAATTAGAATGTGAGAATATAATTAAAAAAGAATGTGGCTATTTTAAGTTTCAATGCTAATTATTTATTTAGGTTTAATTTAATTTAATAGAGTTATAAAGATAAATTAATTTACAAAAAGGTCACTCAAGAAAGGTGGCTTTTATATGGAATGAAAAACTGGTTTCCTTAAGATTTCATATTAAATATTTTTGATGCATAATTATAAACTATCAAGTTTTTTTTCATCTAATATAATTTTCAAAGTTTATTAAAATATTATATATTATTTTCATCAGAATAAATATAATATATTTGTCACTCTAAGTAGCAACCAAAATTAGTGACTTTTGAAGTTATATATTATTAAAAAAATTTTCTTTATAATTTTTATTATATTACAATTTCTGGCTGTAAACAAATGCTTATATATAGCTATAATATATATGACTTGAACCCAATAAATGTTGTTGATGTCCGTCTTATGTTGTTGTTAATGAAAAGTAATGAATGTTCTACGTAACATGATTCTGAAAAATGGTTTTCACAAATTTCTAAATTTCTGTTCAATTGGAAATCTTTGAAAATGAGAAAAGTAACGCATATTAGGATGCACTTTGGCACTTCAATTTGAAGGTACGTCTTTTTTTTCATTTTTTTTGTTTCCTTTCTTTGTTCTTTTGTTCTTTTCATTCTAATTAACTCCTCTTTCCTCTTAGGTCTTAGTTCTTTCTTCGGCTATTTCAGCACTTTGGCATTTCAGTTTCATATATAGATGGGTTTTTTTCTTTTTTTTTGTTTTCTTTTTCTTTTTTTTTCTTTTTTTTTTTTTTTTTTTTTTTTTTTTCTTCTTTCTTTTTGTTTTATTTCTTTTCCTTATTTTTTTTTTGTTTATTTCTTTTCCTTCTTTCTTTTCATTCCTTTATTTCTCTTTTTCATTTTTTCACTATGCTTTTTTTTCTTTTTTTTTTCTTCAATACCCAAAGAAAAAGAAAAAGGAAATGATACAAATAAAAAAAATTATTAAAAAAAGTTTTCTCTTTAATTTTTCGTGTGCGTTTTTTTCTCCAATACCAAAAAAAAAGGAAAAAAGGAGAAAGAAAAAAATAAAAACTAAATACGTAATATTTTTGATGTATTATTATATAAATATCAAGATCTCATGATGTAGTCACACAATTGTAAATGGTTATTTATGGTTATTTATGTGGGTAGTTAGTCTAAACATAATACCCATGTGATTGCAGTATTTTTAAATATTTAGATTATTAAATTAAACTTTACCTACCTTAAGAATCAAACCTAAAACCTTAAAAGTACTCTTTACCAGTAGAATATTATTGGAATTCAACAGTTTGGATGTAAGTTTCTATTTGGAATGATTGGATTTGTAAGTTTGATGCACAAATAAAATTAAAAGAAAGAAATATATTTTTTTTTATAGATAATACTCCTATCTACTATGCTTTATATAAAGGTGTGGAATTTACCAATATAATAATTGAATTTTTGCTTTTTAATACAATTGTACTAAATTTCCAATATAATTTTAATAATTAAGAAATTTTAACTTATAATATTTGATCAATATTGAAAATTGCTTTTTCAAAATTGTATTAAGGTTTTTGACTTTTAACAATTTAACAGAAAATAGTAAATTTTTAATCAATATCAAAAAACTATTAAATAGCTAAGGTCTTTGCAATATAAAAGTATGAAACTTAAAAAAAATTTTAATTTACTTTATATGTTAATTATGTTTTTCTTACTAAAATAAATGCAAATTTAATATTAATTCAATTTTTAATTTTTTTTGAGTTTCACACCTTTCTATTGCAAAGATCCCAAATATGTTATATTAGCCTAGAATAGAGTTCTTCCTAAAACTATATTTAACTGCTAAAATAAAATACAAATGATACAAATTCTTATAATAAAATTGAAGAGAATAAGTATAAAAAAACAGAAAAGAATGAATATAGAGAAATTTAAGATTTAATTAATAAGTTTGAGTATATATACTCTCTTACTATTGAAGAATACATTAAATTAGATCAGAAAAATGAAATTGCTGGTATACCTTCATTTGAAAAGCAGATTATTGCTATTTTTAAAGAAAATAATACTATATCTAATGATAAAGGTGATAAAAATATTATTTTAGTAATAAGTTTTGAGATCTTAATTGCATTTATAATTTTTAATTATATAGAGTAAAATGATAGTTAAAATATTTTTGATAAAAATGCATTAAAGATAATAAAAAAAATTAGAAAAATGGTTAAACAATTTTTTTTCTAAAAAGCAATTAAATTTAAATTTATTTATTATAAATAAAAGTAGTAAACTCAAGCCAAATGACACTTATTTTAATCTAGCTGATAATAATATTATGAACAGAAAAAGAGAAAGCAATAATAATATTATTGATATTGAAGCTTTATATTTTAATAAGTTTGATTTTTAAAACACTGGTTAAAATCAATACTATTGGGTACATATCGGGTACCTGATATGTGTATAATATATGTGATATATGTGTATGATATTTAACAATACCACATATATCAGGTACCCGATATAGAAATGTAGAAAATCGGTGACATATACTGTAAACATAATGTATACATCTTACACATATCGGGTAGTCAAATATAGATGACATATCTTGTAAACATCAAGTATATATCTTATACATATCGGGTAGTCAAATATCAGTGATATATATTATAGATATCATATATTTAACACACATATATCGGGTAGTAAAATATTTGTAATACATCAGTTAGTAGCTATAAATTTCATATTAAAACTAATAGATATATATCTCTTTTTTTTATTTTAATTCAGATAAAGTGAAATTCAACTTTATTAAAATTTGAACAATAATACAAGTCTTACTCTATTTTAAAGATGTTAGCCGTAATTCAAAAAAGTGTCGTAATACAAAATTTTTATATGCCGTAATTAATTAAGGCTATAAAAATAATTAAGGCTAACATCTTTACTCTATCTACTACATATGTAAAATCAAATAAAGTTGAACATTAAAAATAAATAATTATACTATGTAATATGTAAAGTTCTACTAAAAGTAACAATGATAATAAAATTATCTGTTTAACATTTAAAAGAAATATTAGTGAAAATATTAGTAAGTATATTAATTAATAAGAGAAATAAAAATAGAAATATTAATAAAAACGTTAGTGGTAAATATAGAAAATATTAGTAAAAATGTTAGTAGGAAGAAAGAAAAGTTAGTAAAATAGAAAATATTAATACGAGAATGTTAATAAAAACATGTTAGTAGTATTTAATATTAATAGAAAATGTTAATAAGTGGTAGAAAACATAGTGAGAGAAAAGAAAAAAAGTATTAGAACGTCAATAGAAAATGTATATATAAAAGAAAAAAACAAGCATAATGAAAATATACCTTTATGTTTATTTCTAATATAAAAATAAATAAAAAAATATAATAATAATATTATTTCATAATACCTAAGTAAAGAGTTTAAATAAACAAAGTGCGAAATATAAATATTGAAATCATGTGATCAATCGCCTGATTACAAAAACAAATTCTGATTGGGTCATGGATTTTAACCCCAACATATCAATCCGGATTATTATAATTAATAAAATGCATTTATACTATTTATACTAGAATTACACTGCAAGTTAAACTCTTTATTACTTTAAATAATACAAAACTCTACTTAAATATACCAATTAGTCACATATCGGGTACCTATCGGTAGCCTATCATACATATACCAGTCAACAAGTTAAATCACTGATTTTTCATAATATCACAATAATAAATATTCATTCAGAATCTTTCTCCTTCGCCCTTTCAACTTACAGTTCGTATTATTATCCAAGAAGCTGCATCTCTAAAGAAGAAAAAAAGTTAGTAAACGTTCCCAACACAAAGAAACCTCCTCCTTTTTCCATTCTACTTACTATTAGCCCATTCCGAAGTCCAGTATCCAATAGCTGCAAACAAGAGTCTCTAAAGATAAAAAAAGAAAGGGAACATTAGTAAATGTTCCTAATTTAAAAAAAAAATTCCCTCCCCTCACCCTTCAGCTTACAGTTCGTATTATTATTCAAGAAGCTACGTCCCTAAAGAAAAAAAAGGGGAATGTTAATAATGTTCATTAACATTCTCAATTTTTTAAAAAAAACTCCCTTCTCACCTCCCATTCTACTTATGTTTCCATATCAGGTATCCAAGAGGCGAACCTGGAGTCCTAAAGAGAAAAATAAAGTTAATGCAAAATTGGTATAATTAAACATGAAAGTATTAAAGCAAGATGAATGAACGCTTTACCTAGGACCAGGAAGACACGCCCCCTAAAAAAGAGAAGAAAAGGCATGTTAATGATATTCCAAAGGCAAAAAAAAGTGAAAAATCCCACCTCCTAACTTACCTTTCATAATCCAAGCTGAATCTATGACCTTAGAAAGGCAGGTCATATTCCTCTTCCCGCTGACTTAGCTGCAAAGAAAGGAGTTGTGAATCCCCAAAATATGGATAATGAATATTTTAGATGGGCAATCTTAAGTGCACTTTATCCAGTAGGACAAAAGGCAGAACATATTGCCCAATATCGTCAGTATGTAAATGAGTTGAACTTCGAAGGTATCAAATTTCCAGTTCAGGCAGATGAGATAATCCTTCAAAGATTTGAGTAACAGAATCCTCTGTATAAGTAAATGGCATGTTACTGACCATGATATAGCCACGGGTAGATGAATGATCGATTTAGTAATGGGGAAAAGCAACATTACTGCTAGATAAAGAATATGAGTCATTTAGTCAATAAACAGACAAGAAATGAACATGCAACACTTGTTTGCCAGTGGTGTATCTCACACTTCACCCATAATCAAGAAATCCATGACAAGCATATGGCAATATGCCGAGGAATTAAGCATAGTCCACAGGCAGATCGCATGCCAAATCCAAAGAAAGGTGAGAATGTTTACCAGTTTAAAAATTGGAAGCGACGCATGCAAGTTCCATATTACTTTGTCGCAGATTTTGAGGCAATACTAAAACCTATCATAAATGAGAATCATATTAATAAAACCAAGAAAATTCAAGAACATATCCCATGTTCATTTGCATATATGAAAATTCGTTATGATGGGCAATCATATCCAGAGAAAATTTATGTAGAGCATAATGCCGCAACCTAAACCAATGATCCCCTTATTACCGGAAGAAGAAGAGATCCATAATAATG